CCCCGCCTCTCGGTGGGCGCCCCTGTCCTCCCGGCTTCGATGTGCCTCCTCCCCCTCCTTGCGGCTGTGTTCCTCCTCCTCCTCCCGGCTTCGCCAACGTCAGCGACACTTCCTCCTCCGAGACCGAGTCGACCTCCGAGAGCGATTCGAACTCTACCTCTGACGCCGCACCGGTAGACGCCCGCCGCCGTCGCTGCCACGGACGCTGTGCCCGTGGCCATCGTCAGGGCTCGCCTTATGCCACCGATGCACCCGAGGAGCACAGGGGCCACCACGGCCACCGTGGACACCACGGGCACGGCCGCCACCACAAGCACGGCAAGTACGGCAAGCACGGCACGCATGGTCGTAGGGGCCGCCACACCGACGCCGACGCCGACGATGACAACGATTGGCACGCTCGTCGCGGCCGCGGCCACGGCCACCACGCCCACGGTCCCTTCCCTCCCTTCGGAGGGCCATTCGGCGGTCCCTCCGGCTCTCCTTTCGCTGGCCCCTCCGCCGATTCCTCCGGCGCTCCCTCCGGCGCTCCCTTCGGTGCTCCTTTTGACGGTTGCGGTGGTTCGTTCGGTGGCTTTGGCGGCTTCGGCGGTCACCACCACCACGCTCACGGCCACCACGCCCACCACGGCCCTGGCGGGCACCACCACGGCCCTGGTCCTCACGGCCACCTCGGCAGTCCCGGCTTTGGCAGCCCCTTCGGTCCCTCAGGCCCTCCCTTCGGCGGTCCCGGCGGTCCCGGTGGCGCAGGTGGCCCCGGCAACGTCCGCTCGCCCTTCGCCTTTGCGCTCTTCACAGAGACGAGCGCGTAGTTCCTCCTTCATCTTCCCTCAGCCACTACTATCGACATAGACTTAAGTGGCACTATCGTTCCTTCAATACAGTATCAAGATAAAACCAAGTCCATAGTCATTCTCTTTAAACCCCCAGAAAAGCAGTAAAACAGAAAAAACCATACCACAACAGAAATCGACAAAGTCCATAGTGGTCCAGAAGCGGCGAAAAACCTACGTGATCGATCGTTGTAGATAGTTATGAAAAGCCTTATGCCCTCACTTCTTGCTGCACCTGCTCTTCCACTGACTCACGTCGACTTTTACTGACCTATTCCCTGTCCCCGTATTCCACGAGGTGCCACTTTCAGAGATATTCTCGCGACACACTCACCCGCCGCCTCGCTGTAGCTCGAGTGGACTTCAGAGTTTGAGAGTCATGGAGCTGGCCTTTGGACAGACGGAACGATCCCATAATATTCACTTTTTTGCGACACTGCCTCTGCCCACGCTCGTACACGCTCGCACATCCTTACGCTGACTCACTCTATCCCGCACCCATTGCACCATTTCACTGTTGACATGACTCATGATTGTACAACGATAAACACTTTGGAATAAACTCTTTAGCTCTTGCTTTGCTTTGATTGCGGGATGTGTTGAAATGGAAATCTATGAATGCGAGATGCGGGCCTTACTGAGCTAGCACCCTCTTGTAGAATCTGTTATTGTCAGCTTGCCAACCACGATCTTAGCTGCCCCGAGTCACACTCACAGGATATACGCCGGGCGGTTCACCACGTCCTGCTCCGTTGCGGGCGTCACGCGCGAGTCCTCGCAGAAGCTCCAGTGGTCTGAGCCCTTCACGAACGCGGTGTCTGCTATTAGCTCCGCGACGCCTCGTCTAGCTATCTCGTGCCTACTCACAGTGCCCGCTCGACAGTGTGCCCATGTGGTTACTGACGGCGTAGAGGTCGTATTTGAACGGCCCGATCTGGGTGCGGGGGTCGTCGAGGTCTTCTGTCCCGTTCGGCTGGCGGACGGGGACGTACCGCGTCAAGTCGAGGTTCTTTAACGGGAAAATGACCGGCGTGTCCGACTTGTCCCAGAACTGACCCCCGTTGACGGGCAGGAAGCGCTTCAGCTGGATCATGAGAACCGGCGGGAGGCGCACGATCGTCATCGTCTTGGACGCGCGGCGGTTCTTCTTGCATCGCGGACAGAACCTGTATGTCAGCTTCGGTCGGAGCTGGCGAAGCTTCGGGCTGCGACGGACCACGCCAGGCGCATGGTGCAACTACCAGCTAACGGCCGACTTACCACTTGTCATCACCGTCCAGGATCTCCGGCTGGACGTATCGGTCAAACAGCTCGGGAAGCACAATCGGCTTGCGGCTCGTCGGCAAGTCAAGCGTGAGCCACTGGAACGAGTCGTACACGGTCGATGTCTGAAGTTAGCTCACCTCTACAGTAGAGCCTACCTTGTGACACGTGAGGCACTCCATGCGGTTCATGTACTGTCCCTGGAACACGTCGACAATGAAGCTGTCGTTGCGCTGCTTGTAGATGGCCCACTCCTTGTCGGAGGCGATCTGAGGCGGGAGCGTCTCCAGCTCAGCCTCGCGCTGGGGTGTCATCTCGACCGGCTTCGGCTTGACCCGCACGCGGTTCAGGTCCTCGTGCAGACCGTCCATGACGAAGGAGAGGAACTCTTGCGAGTCGTGCTGCTCCGTGCCCGCGAAGTCGGACTTGAAGTTGATGATGGATTTCTGCTATCAGTATGGAGAGCGAAGCAAGCAGGATTGCCGTAGCCACCAGGGGCGTACTGCTAGGTAGGCTGTACTCACTCTAAAAGTGATTGGGGAGAGGAAGGTGTAGTGCTCCTTCCAGAGCGCGGACAGAAGTTCCGCAAAGGCGTGCGCGAGGTTACCCCTCGTACCAAGCGTGTTGGTGAGATTGACCTCCTTCTTGTAATGCCCATCGAGGAAGAACCGCGCGAACGGCAGCGTGGCCGACAGACACTGAATGGTCGAGTTCATGTAGCACGTGTTGCCGAGGTTCTTGAGACCCGTAAGGCCCAGCTTCGGATCGCGCCAATACCGGCACCCGCTGTTAGGGGCGAGCTGATCGTGCCGCACATCTGCGCGGACGAGAGTGCGGCTGTCCCGCCGCTCGAGCGAGTGCGAGGCCGCCGCCGGCGGCTGTTGCGGTAACCTGCCCAGGGCGTGCGGCTGGGGATAGTCGATCGACGGGCGCGAGGCGTGATGTCCGCTATACTGGCTGTCGAGGTAGCCACTCTGCCGCCGTGTGCCAGCTCCGGGGTGGATCGAGGCCTTCGGTAACGGCGCGATGCCGCCAGCACCGGCGTACGAGCTGATCGACTGCGAGCTTCCGTGCTTCGGTGGGAGGGAGGGTCGTGCCGGCGCCGCGGCGTAGTCTCCCGGTGTACCCGGCGTCGAGTACGGCGACTGATACGGTGCCGCATTGTAGCTCGACGGGAAGTGGTGCGACAAACTAGCCGAGTGCGAGTGGTATCCGCCAGTCATGGACTGCGGGGAGCCGCTGCTGAACGTGTCGGGGATGCCCTTGGCATAGCTTCCGGGCTGGTACACGTGCTGCTGTCGCTTCGCGCGCTTCTCGGCCGCCTCCTTCTCGCTGATGCTGTTGACCGGCTTGTGACCCTGCGCCTGGTTCTGCCGCGCAGCACCTTGGCGCGCACGGAAGTCGATGAACTCGAACCACCCCTGATATCCGCCCACGAGCAGGACCGGACACCGCGGAAGGATCTTGGAGTACTCGTTCGAATAAATCATGTCCCACATGCGCGAAACGGGGGTCGGGTCTGCACCCTTCGGAGGGAAGTTCTTCGATCGCGAGTCGTAAATCACGACCAGGTCGTACTGGTGCCGCCTGGCGAAAGCCTCCTGCTGCGCTGGCGGAGACAGGGACAGTGCGTCCTCGAGACCCGCCGACGTCATGCCCGATCGCATGATGATCGTTGGGTCGATCCAGACAACGTTGATGTGACAACCACGGTTGTAATACTCTGCTCCGACGTAAGACTTCTTCCACTCATCCTCAGATCGAACGTCGAGGAGGAGCACGTCCACGTCAAAGTTCATGAAGTACGTCCGCAGGTCGTTAGGCTCCAGCACATTTGTGCGGGGGAACGTCGGCTTGCCCGCGTGCGTCGGACTGTATCCTGGGATGGCGACGGCAGTGGATCCCGATCCAGGGCTCGTAGACGGCTGCGCTACGGCCCTTGACGATGTCCGCGGGGAAGGTGCCAGTGACGAGTCCTCGTGCCGCGGTGACGGGACCGGCATCGTTTCCGGTGGCGGCTTCTTCGCGGCGTCGAAGCGCAATTGATGGTCCGGAGCAGGTGGGATCGGCTTCGCAGTCGCAACGGACGATTCGAGGTCGAGCGCGCTCAGCTCCTCTGTCGGCGGAGAGAACGCCTCGTCCTTCTTTGTCTCGGCGGGCTGGGATGCTGGGCGGCGGATCTCTGAGTCAAGGTCCGGACTCGGCGGGGAAGGAACAACGTCTTTGGGGTCGATCGGTGCTGGGGGCGGAGGAAGGGGCGGACGCGGCTGTCCGGGCAGGTCGGTCGGTACGCTCGGTAGTGATGGGAAGGAGGGGAATGATGGAAGTTCGGGGAGGTCGACTTCTGATGGCTTCGAACGCGGAATCTCAGGCAGGGGCGAGCGCTTCGGCACAGCAACGCCGGTGGGTGCGGGGGCGGGGACGGGGGTGGGGACAAGTGATCTCTGGGGGACTTTCGAACTGTGTGGCGAATGTGTCGATGGAAGGGAACGATTGTTCGAAGTGTGCGAGCGCTGCGTCAGAGTCAGACGGCGACCGCTGCATCCCCGGTGGACCCGGGGGCTTCGGAAGTGCGCCTCGCACGGGCGACGGTCGCCCGGAATCCGGTGCAGGCGACGGGACATTGTTGATAAGCCCGAGGTGACCGTTCGCAACGGGTGACGGCTGCTGCTCAATGCTGCTGCCGGTCGATTTAGACGACCCGCCCGTGCTCAGGCTTGCGACTACTGGTGATCCGTTCGCCGCAGGACCCGGCGGACTCGGCGGGCGGGGAAGGCTCGGGCGCCGGCCCGTGCCGTTGCTAACGACCGAGGGAGGTCGGCTGCCGTTCGCGGGCAGCTCGCGGCTGATCCGCTTGACGTCCATCCCACGGCCGGAAAGCGCTTTCATCCGGTCCGCGATCGATCCTCCTGGTTCGCGCTCTAACGATGTTGACCTGATGTCAGTTTCTCCAAGCGGCGAGGAAACTCACCCCTGCTTCTCCGGCTGCGGCTTCGGCGGTGGAGGAGGCGACATGAGCGCTGCGTCAGCCTGGCGGAGTTCCTCCTTCAGCGCCTTGGCCTTGTGGAGGGCCTGCTCCCAGGTCTGTCGTTAGCAAAAGTTTCTGTGTTGCGCCCTGAGTGTGCGCTGACGCACCTGCTTGAAGTCGGTCAGGCGAGTCGCCCAAGCGGGGTCCGCAGCCTTGGCCTCCCGGATGCGCGAGTGGTGGAGGGCGTTGTTGTACGCCGTGACGAGGCGGGTGTACGCGATGAACTGCTCTGCCTTGTTCTGTCGTCTTTCAGCCTGGCGGGCGTGCTCAGCCTGGCGGAGGGCGGTGTCGAACCATTGTTTCGGCGAGTACTTGTCCGGGGGGCTGTTGTCGAATGCGAGCAGCTTGAGCTGGTCGAATGTGCGGTGGGGTTGGTCATGCCCCGAGCCAGGGGGGGAGGGGAGGGGAGGGCGAGACATGGCGCTCGCTGGCTACCGGGGCATGCGAGGGGAAGGAGGGGATGTGCTGGATGTGAGTGAGTGAATGTGTAAGAGGAGTGGACGGTGATGACCAAGTGCAGGTGCGCGGTGCGCGGCGAGGTCTGTGGCCAGAGCCGGGCTGAGCGCTGAGCGTCGCATGGCATTTGGCTGGGCGCTCAATGTATGGGGCCAGCCCGGCGATGACGTTTTGGCTCCGCTGCACCAGCCCGCACACCACACACCGCGACCTCCACTTTCTGGGTCTTCGACTCACCAATCTGCCGTAGTGATGCTTGCTGCGAAGGATACGCTGCTATGTCTTCCTCGTCCCGATAAGGCAGCATTATGCTCTCGCAGTCACGACAATGCAGCTGTGCAGATCTACTCCGCAGTCCCACGGTGCTTCCTATATACGGCTAAACGGCCATCTGGCGGACAGTCTGGCCCGTTTGCCACCCAAACCTTCAAAGTCTTGGCGTCCGGCTTCTGCGTGGTGTTTCGCCCTCACTCGCACCCCGCACAACAGAGCCTTGCACTGCGGAAATCACCTTTTGTGCATTCCACGATGCCACTATGCGCGGCGCGGCGCCACGCGGTGCAGAGTCTCTTGTCTGACTGGTGGTCGAAGACGAGCACAGCTTGAGGAGCATATTCGACTGCGCAGCGTCTTCCTCTCACCCTGGACGAGACCGCTGCCACTGCAGACAACGCGGATAGACATTGGGTAATGCGGTCAGTCCAGTCGAGTCGTGATCTCGGCGAATGATGGTAGAGCGGGCAAGCAAGTAGATCTCCTCTCCCCGCTTGCTCGCTTACTCAAAACTCTACTTCCTGCCCGGTGAACTTCTTTGCGTTCTATGGAAACAATCCGCGGCCGGCCCAGACTCGCCTCGCTTGTATTCTTAGAAGTCTCGACACCGCCCGCTGCGTTTGTTCAAACTACACACTGTGCAGAGGATCTCTGATGTGTACCGCTGTGCAGGAGTAGGAGGACGGCTGCTTGTGACCGTTCATGAGCAAAGTGAAACGGCAAGGCCTAGACCATCCAGTCACCCACCCACTCGAGGAAGACAACACGGTGGCACAGCTGCATCGATGCCCTTTCCTTCTGAGGGTCGACCGGCCTTCTGGGGGTGGACTGCAGTCTACCAGAGTCGACTCACCTACTGGTCTGATCATCCTTCCGCTGGCGCCCGGACTCAGCTAGCAAGCACTCACGTAGCTGGACACGCCTGGTGGAAGCAAATGAGTCAGCAGGCGGTTGAGTAAGCTTCTGCAATTCTGCAACTTCTGATCGTCGGCTGGACCACTACGTTGCTAGAAGCAGCAAGGCCAGATCTCGGCCAAGCCCGCTCACCCTCTCAATCTCCGATCTCCGTCCAAGTTGATGCAGATCCGACTCCACGGGCCGAGATCCAACACGCAGCCCACATGCCTCGCACAGCTGACCGGGCATGAGGGCAAGTATAGAAGCATGCGCAGCATTCGGCAGAACAATTAGAACAAGGACACTGCGCACTGCGCCGGCTGCCGTTGGTACCCGCTGTCGATTGTCGCGTCTCGAGCCGACGAAAGCGAGGGCAGACAGAGCGGAGCCAGGGGGCGGAATGGAGATCGCTCGGCGCCCGAGCTGGCCGAGGATACCGAGTGTCGACGCCCAGAACGCCCAGAGCGCCGAGCGGGCTAGGAGGCCCTTAGACATTCATCGCCTCTGCTTTTGGACGCCGATGCGGCCTTCATCACAATCATGCATGTTCTCGTTTGGCATACTCCGAGCTCACAAATCGGACGAGATGCTGCCTGACTTGCCAGCTGAGAGCCGAGGCGTTGCATGTACAGAGGGAGAGGGGAGCCGAGATAACGCTTCCGACAGCGTGCGGGCCGTTAGGCTCGATGACGACGTTCCCTCTCGGCGCAGTTGGCAGACTTGTTTCCGCACCCGCACCACGCATCAGTCCGTGCCAAGTCTGCTTGGCTCAACGTTAACTTGGACATCCGCGCGCAGCACATGGACGACGCGTACCTCATTGTGCCAGCATGCAGACGTGCCATGCATTATACCAGGACAGTGGTCCCTGCATCCTGTCCGTTGCTCCCTAAACCGCCCTAGACCAGTGCAGAGCTGCGTCGGACACGTCTGACGCTCGGCACAGAGTCCTGAAGCCTGGCTCGTCCTAACCTCTCCTGGCTTATGATTTAGGCTGGAGTCGGCGCGGCGCGTCGGAAAGGCCACCGGCAAGTCTGGCGCAAGGTTGGCCTGGCTGTGCTTGATGTGAATTCGGCCAGAGTTTATCGCCCCGCCGCCCCCCTGCGGTGCACCAAGTGCCGAGTCTGTGTGCATTGTCTGCTGCATGCTGCAGACCGCACCTCCTCGCTTGCCGATCTCTGGGCAGATACGTCGCCAGGCTGAAAAGCTCTGGACTGCGTCATGTCAGAGTGACACAGACTGCGGCGGCGTCCGGCACGAGAAACGAGCTTGACTTAGGTCTGCCGTAGCGCAGGCAGACAAGTATAGCGGGAACGTCATCGCGCTATAACTGGACTTCTTTGACTTCCTCGCGACATAGCGCAGAGATCGAAGCGCTGCGCGCATGCTCTGCAGGCTTCTTTGCATGCATAAATGAAAGCCCCAGCGCCAGCGTAGCGACCCGGCATGCTTCCTTCTCACTTTGAATCGATGAGCAGCCCAAGTCCAGATCCGAAGATGGGACGCAGGTCAGGTACGACTGGGTCCATGAGTGGATTGCATGGATTCATGGATTGCGCAGTCACCGCCCCTCCCCTTAGAGGAGACAGCCCGAGGCTCAATTCATGTACCTCGTCCGCAGCGCCCAATGCTCCGATTAAACCTGCATAAGCCTCAATTAGAACATGGGCGACTGCACAATTAGAACTTGCCCTTGAGTGGCTTCAGGGGCGGGCGCCGGCATGCCAGCGCCCAGCCAGGGAAGAGGGCAGGCGTCTGTCGCTTCTAGCGGTCATGAGCGATCCACCAGCTCTGACAACGACTGCGCCGCCGCCGCCGAACCGTCGTCGTCAAACTTGTGCCAAGCATTTCCTTCCTTTCGCAAACCCACACTCTCTTGTCGCTCGTCTCTTGTCCCCTCTTCCCTCAAAGAACCCCGCCGACTACCTGTATCTTATCGTCTTTCATTCTCTGGACACTCGACGTGCCACCACCCCCTCGCACACACAGCGCTCTTGTTCTTTTTGTGTATAGTCCTTGAGCGAACCCCGAACCCCCATCGCGACCGCGCCGACCGGCTCTCGACTGCCCCGACTGCGCACCTTTGCATTTCGTCACTCGTCCTCACCGCCTTCCTCACCACCGTCTCAGCGTCCCCCGCCGAGCTGCGCTCCACCTGACGCCCCGCCGCCCACACCGACCACTGCCCCGGCTCTGTCTGCTGCACAGTCACCTCTGGACTCCTAACGCGCAGCGAGCTCTATTCCGGATCAGCGACCGACGTCGACGCCCTTCCGGACCGGCATTCCTTTTAATCTCCCTCATTTCATTGATCTCCGCGGACACTCGTTCATTGTATAATAAGGACATTTGGGACACTTCCGACACCCCGCAGCTGGCATCACTGTATCCCTCCACACGAGTCTCATTATGCGCACGACCACCACTGCAGCTGCGCTACTTGCGCTCGCCGCTGCTACCCATGCAGCACCCACCGCCGAAGCCGAGAAGCTCAACGTCATTGGCGGCGAACCGGTCGCCGTCCCCCTTGTCCACCGACGGACGGGGCAGTACCGCACGCCCGAGGAGCGCATGGCGTGGGCCGAGGGACAAGCGATGGCGATGCGAGCAAAGTACGGCAGCTTCCTGAACGAGGAGGAGCGCTCGCTTCTAAAACGGACATTACACGAGAAGCGGCAGAATGTCGGTTCCCTGCCTCTCGTCGACATTGGCATCGACTCTACGTACGCGGGCCAGATCGACATCGGCACGCCGGCGCAGCCGTTCTACTGCATCATGGACACGGGATCGAGCGACCTCTGGGTGCTGGACGACGACTGCAACGACTGCGAGGGAATCAGCACGTTCAAGCTCCACGAGTCGAGTACGCTGCAGGAGACCAACGATCCGTTCGGCGTCAAGTACGGCTCGGGCATGGTCAAGGGCGGCATCGTGCGGGACACCGTCACGATGGGCGGGTTCACGGTCCAGGAGCAGACTTTCGGCGTTGTCAACTACACGAAGCAGACGAATCCGACGAGTTCCTCGGGCGAGAGCGGCGGCTCGCAGCCCGGGCAAGAAAGCTCCGGCCCAGCAAGCGGGATTATCCAGCCGCCGATCTCGGGCCTGATGGGTCTTGCATGGAAGGCGATCGCGAACAGCGGCGCGACGCCGATGTGGCAAACCCTCGCCGCGAGCAAGTGGCAGCAGAAGGAGTTTGGCGTCTTCATGGTCCGACACCGTGGCGACGAGTGGGCGCGGCAATTCGAGGAAAACGGCGGCCAGATCCTCTTCGGCGGCACGAACAACACGCTCTACAAGGGCGACCTTAACTACGTCTCGATCCCGGACCAGGACAAGGACTACTGGCGCCTCAAGCTCGAGGGCATTAACGTCCAGGGCAACGACCTGGGGTACTCTACCGAGTGGGCCTCCGCCGCCATCGACACGGGCACGACGCTCATCGGCGCTCCGCCCGACATGGTGAGAGCCGTGTTCGACCAGATTGAGGGTTCGCGCCCGCTCGCCTCCGTCTCGCCAACCATGGCGGGTTACTACGCCTATCCGTGCGAGACGCGGGTCGAGCTCCTCCTCAAATTCGGCAACAAGTGGTACCCCGTCTCGAACGAGGACTTCAACCTCGGCTCCATAGAGCGGACCGGGACGTGGTGCATGGGTGCCGTATTCGAGTTTGGCGCGAGCCAGAACTCGCCCGTGAACTGGATCATTGGCGCGGCCTTCCTCAAGAACGTCTACACTGCTTTCCGGTACGAGCCGGCCGCGGTCGGGTTTGCGGAACTCGCCGACGGCGTGCAGAACTCGGACGCCAATACGAGCAGCTGGACCACGAGCGGAGGCGGAGGCGTCATCAGCGGCGACGGCAAAAGTCAGGGTGGGCACTCGGATGCCGGTCGCGCTCTACCGTCGCTCTTCGCCGTTATCGCCGTTGCGCTCGCCGCGGCGCTGCTCTGAGACATCCCCCACATCAACGAGACACACTCGACACTATCATATTCATCGGCAACTCTGTCATCACAACTACATCAGCACTGTTTTCCTTAGACTTCTCATTCATGACCCCTATGTATCAGTTTGACACTATGTCCAGCGGGATGCGAGTTGCTCCACGACGCGGAGGAAAGCTCACGAGAGCAGTGGACGTAGCAGAACAGGGGATGCAGAGGACAGGCGAGAATGAATCCTGGCAAGAGCAGCGTAGTCGTGACTGCAGCTACTCGAGCTTCAGTCCAGATGTGGGCAAGGTTCGGCAATCGCAATTGCTGAAAAAAGAGAAGGAACGCTCGGATCAACATAAGAAGAGCATGTGGGGACATGTGGGCAGCTTATTTGCGGATCCGAGCCGCGCTCGGAGGTTTGAGTGGTTGGGCCAGATCGGAGGCTTGGCACCTCCGACGCTGGACATGGTCCGGTCCGTCTTTGACACGGCGCATCGGCACCTCGGCGCCGGTCGGGCACGTTGCATTGCTTGGATCCGGAGCTGACTGGGGCTGCGTTGAGACAGGGGGATAGACGGACCTGGGAGAATCGGAAGTGGAGGAGAGGGAGTGTGTGAGTGCACGGACAGGACTGGGGGTGGGCAGGTAGTGAGTAACCATCAGCAGAAGTACGGAGTGTGAGCACATCGTGATGAAGAGTCGGCGGCTGTTCCCGCCTGAGCACGGGTTGACGCTCGTCACAGGACGGCCGTCAGCGATGCCATCAAAGCCTCTCAACCTGCAAAAGGAGGCATCGGGTGAGTCATTCGGTCGCTTTAGGACAGCGTCGTCAAGCCCTTGCCAACACTCTACCCTCGGAGAGCCTGGCGATAGAATCAGCTGCCCGTGGACATAACGGACACCGACGATTCCGACGACGTCGTTCATTCCGCGCATGCTGCTGGCCCACCAGGGAGGATCGATGGCCGCCGCTCCGGTGGCCGGCCGGAGACGGCGACAGGGTTCTGCCTCGGCGGCAGTCTTGGTCAGTGGGGGACAGAATGCCAATGACCATTGTCAGTTGTCGTTGGTTAGCCCTGCATGGCTGTGGACGAGGTTGGTAAGACGGTGATGCGGCAGAAACGTGGCGCTTGTAGTAGCGAGCGCCGAGAGCTTCGATACCCTCACGCTCTGCGTTTCGAGAATCAAAGAGCAACTCGCGGACGAAGCGCAGCGCCAAATGGGCTCACCCGGATACGCGGAGTCCCGCACGCAACGGAGCAGCGTACCAGTTGTTGCGAAGGCATACAGACCTGAAACGAAAGTTGCAAGCGAGCCTCGAGCCCAGAACAAGTACGCGCCCGACATCTCGCGGGGTCCATTGGGGCCAACACGCGCTAGCTCCTCCGCACCCCAAGCCGTGCTATTCTCGTCGCCTCCAGTGTGGGGAACGGTATTTGCCATCCAAGAGATAGCGTAGCCGCCGCAAGCGAATGGGCGAATGGGGGCCGAGTCAAAGCATAGAGTCTATTTCGGGAGGTAGGCGCTGACACAGGACTTTCCGGACTTCGTAGCGGGTGGGTTGGTGTGACGTACGGCCTGGTGTGGGGCTCGCGATGGGCGATCGCATATCGCTTCCCTACTCCCAAACCGCAGGACTGGGCATGCATACCCGACTGACAGGAGGGGACAGTGACATCCCTGTCTGATTGCCGAGAAGGTATGCTGAGCAGGGTACGTTTATCTGACGCGGCGGCAACAGACGGAGGTACCGCGGCCTCTCCACAGGATGCAGTGGAGCAGCTCTGACACGCGCTGACGCGCGCCGAGATAAGACCAAGTGCAGGAGATAAGCAGGCCGCTATCAGCTCCACAGCCCGAGCATCCCGAGAGTCGGGCGACGATCGGTGCGAGAGATTGTGTGGATCGTGAGCGCCACTGATCACGCCAACAGCGCTGGACGTCACTGGCCAGCTGACGAGCGGTGATCTGCACCCGACCTCGATCGGAATCGGAATAGAGGGTCGGGACAGCGGCGCTGGAGCGGCATCGTATCCAAAGTGTGCGGGTTGCCGTCACTGTACAGTCCTGGAACTGTGGAGCTGCCGACCGACGCGAGCGGCAGGTGAAGTTTCGAACACAGTCTGGCCCACCAGGTTCGCCCCAGTCGGTCCCCATCCAGCTGACGTCGCGCTTATCTGCTTGTGCCGATGTGTACTCCAGGCCCGCTCCGGATTTCCATTCCTCCATTCTATGTTCGGAAACGATGAGGAATGCTGGCCACTCCCAGAGTCCTGGGCGACCTGGACATTGGGGCACGCGGAAAATTTGAGAGGAATGGAAGAGATGTTGATCGCCGCAATATGGACAGCTGGACATCCGCTGCTTGTACAAGTTGGAAACTGGTCAGATATAGGCTAATCAGGGGCTGCATCGTCGTGCGAAGCTGTAGGTCGTTGCGAGGGGAGCAGAGGCACAGTGTCTGCGTGTCTGGATCCTTCTTGGTGTGTCAGAGGCACCCGCACCCTCTCGGTTGTGCTCCACACGGCCCCAGTGGGCCTCGTATTTGTCCTCCTGGCGCTCCCATTCTACCTCCCCTAGGCTCCGGGTGCGAGCAGACGCCAGCGGAAGCACTGTACCAGAGCTACCCCGCTGAGATCGTCTTGTGACCAGTAGAATCACGACCATCGCACACTTGCAGTGGAGGCTGCGCTCAGGCGAAGATTCCCGAACTTTGGCGACCCGCCGGCCCCGCGAGCAGCGCAACTTCGCACCGGGTCTTGCAGGACGGACAGACACGATGTGGTCGCCGGCCGTGCTGTCTATTTGGCCGAACGCGATGCATGCTGTTGGGCGCGCCGGGAACTATGTTCCGTACGCCACCTCGCTGGCTCTCGTTGGCTGGCCGGATCAGGTTTCTGTGGCCGGATCTGGATCCTGGGCAGCTTTGAAAGGATGCTGGAATGCCAGACCGAGTATGCCGACCCTGTGGCCCGGTGGGGTTAGACACTGGAACGTCGTCGTCCAAAGACCGTGGTCGTGTGAGCCTGTTTGCCAGGCAGCCAACGACAGCTGTGAGAATACAGGTGCGTATCTCTGGCCATAGACAGCGACGACAGCGAGCTACGCGGTGCCTCTGCCAATGCGAGTGGGGCACAATATCGAATGTCAGCTGGATCGAGCGGCAAGTGTCCCGTCGAGTCGCCGCCGGCTCGACTGGCTGACGTCGCTGCGTACTTTTTTTCTGTTGTTTGGCTTTTCCCCTTATTTCGAACGATCAGCCAGCGGCATGGCACTGTGAAAAAAGCCCTGAAGCAGGGTTCGTAGGGTCGTCGCCGGCCAGAAATACCAAAAGTGTTGGTACACCAAGCGTCTACCGACGCATGTACCGACGCTGCCGACGGCCAGACCCGACTTGGGTTTCCTGCCGGATGGACAGCTGTGCAAGCTGCTGATGGCGGCTGACAGCAGGGGTAGGCACGTGTCGGCCCACATGCAGTCCCTGATAAGCGTCCAGCTTGCCGTAAACTGGGCTCTTCGGCGGCTGCCAGTTCGATGCAGCAGAGCAGAGGCGCTCGGCCGGAGCATCCACGGAAATTCGCAGATGCTATCAGCTCAGGAGCAAGTTGCTCAGGATCCCACCAAGTGAGAATGACGTCTCGTCGCAGCAACCAGCAATTAACATCGCACACTAAAGCCTTCTACCGTGTGCGGCCTGCCTGCGGGGCATACCAGGGCTACGATGACCGCTCGCACCACCCCATACTCCCAATCGCAGGACACCGATGCGGGTCGCCGGTCGCGGTAGCTTCGTATTTGCTGGCTCCTCTCGTTGCCCTGCTCCGTCCTGAAGCCCGCTGAGCCCCACAGGCCTTCTTTTACCCGCTCGGTGGTGTCCACTCGCGGAGCGCGCAGAGCAAGCGGAGCCTGGGATCTTCAGCTGGCGGCCGGCGGGGGTGGTCCCCCCGGTTGCCAGATGCTACTTTGCCCGAGCCTTGTTGACGAGGCTGCTAGCGCGCGACCAACCCCCGCAGTTAAATATCAGAAAGTCTCGCACCCTCGTCTCTTCTTCCCCCGCACGATCTGCTCTTCCACTCCTCACTACCCCGCACATCACAAACGCTCACTCGCCCCGACCCCAGCCGGCAGCCGCACCCTTCCTATCCAAACTTCTCTCCGCTTCGACCGACGCGACGCGATGAAGAGCGCCACCCCCTCGACGACGACGGTGGGACCCGACTCAAACGATGGAAACTACATGAAGGACCCCGATGTCGAGGCTGTTCCCGCTGGACGCTTCGGCGCCAGAGATGGCATGCCTGCCATGGAGGTCAAGGAGAAGAACGACGCCAATGTCACGGTCGAGGCCGCTGGAACGCACAAGTCGTTCAAGCAGATGAACGAGATCGAGCGCACTGGTTACCTCTCTGACATGGTCGAGACCGGCGAGAAGAAGTACCACAAGCTCGGTTGGGTGCAGCTCGTCGTTGTGCTGATCGTCGAGGCCATTGCCCTCGGTTCGCTTTCTCTTCCCAAGTGAGTAGCCACGTCTGTTAGGGTGGTGTCTATTTTTTGCCAGGGGGCGGGTCATGTGCGCGTTTCGTCGTCGAGCAAATGCTGGGGTCACCGTCACCGAGTCACACGGGTACGGCGGACGCCGACGATTCGTTCCTGTTGTTTTTGTGAATTAGCCAAATTTTCGGAAGATCACAGAAGCGTCGGCGTCATTCCTTGGTCGCAGCTGGTCGCACACCTGTTCGGCAGCTGTCACGGACCGCTTCGCGGCTTCCATGGCGCACACGCGGGCGAGCACATGTCCACAAAGGCGTCTGAATAGTGGAGCTAAGGCCCCGGAAATAAACCGACCGACGCCGCTCCCACCCGGTGGCCCTCTTCCAGTCGCCACCTTACGTCACCCCTCCGTTCCGCAAACTGTTCCTCTCGCTGACCTGCAGAGCCTTTGCATCTCTCGGCATGGTTGCGGGTACTATCATTACCGTCGGAATTGGCTTCGTTGCGATCTACACCTCTTATGTTGTTGGCCAGGTGAAGCTCAAGTATCCCCAGGTCACGCACTACAGTGATGTCGCGCCTCTTCTTGTCGGCCCCCGCTGGGGACCGCTGCTCCAGTGGATCATCGGCGCTGCGTTCTGGCTCTACTTGGTCCTGCTTGTCGGCTCGCACTGTCTGACGGGAACCATTGCATTCAAGACGATCACGCACGCTCACGTCTGCACTCTTGTCTGGGGTGTCGTCTCGATGGTTCTCCTGTTCATCTGTGCGCTTCCGCCCTCCTTCGCTGAGATGGCCATTCTCGGCTACATCGACTTTGTCTCCATCTGCGCTGCCATTCTGATTACCCTCATCGCCACTGGTATCCGCGCCCACAACGAGCCCGGAGGCTTTGCTGCCGTTGACTGGACTGCCGGCGCTCACCCGGGTACCACGTTCGCCGACGCCATGGTCGCTGTCACCAACATCGTGTTCGCGTACTCTTTCGCCATCTGCCAGTTCTCGTTCATGGAGGAGATGCACACTCCGTCCGACTTCCCCAAGTCGGTTTGGGTGCTCGGCATCACCGAGATCATCATCTATACCTGCACCGGTGCTATCGGCTACGCCTTCGTCGGAAACAAGGTCCAGTCTCCCGCCCTCCTGTCGGCCGGCGACACCGTCTCTCGCATCGCTTTCGGTGTTGCGCTTCCCGTCATCTTCATTTCCGGTTCGATCAACACGGTTACCGCCGGCCGCTACGTCATGGACAAGTTCTTCAAGCACTCGACGATCCGCTACGTCGCGACGCCTAAGGGCTGGGCTGTGTGGATCACTATGGTCGCTGTCATCAGCATCATCGCCTTTGTCGTTGCTGAGGCGATTCCCTTCTTCTCCGACCTGCTCTCCATCATTTCGGCCCTGTTCATTTCTGGCTTCTCGTTCTACCTTCCGGGTATCATGTGGTTCGTCCTCATTCGCCAGGGCGGCTGCTTCTCGAGCGCGAAGAACACCATCCTCACCTTCATGAACATCGGTTGCATCATCATCGGTCTTGTCTGTCTCGGATGCGGTACTTACGCCGCCGTCTGGGACATCAAGCTGTCGTTCGACAACCACACTCTCAGTGGCGCCTACTCGTGCAACTAAGCGCGAGTGGCTCATAGCGGCGAAGGGTTGCAGCAGCGTGCACTCGCTGGACTGACCGTGCGTGGAGCTTGCAGGCAGGGGAGTCGGCGGACTCGAGAAACGTGTTAGACGACACTGTGTTACATGGGTTTCTTTCATACCACAATACCGCCTACGTGCAGTGATAAAATAATTAGACATTAGATCCTAGGGATACGTACATCTGTCGCCGGACACGGCACATGCAACATTCTTGTATTTCGCTTCTCTGGCCTCATGGGTTTGCTCACTGGGTGAGCAGGGAGGTCGTTGACCTGGTACTACAGCGGAAAGAGATGAGGAGTGATTGAGATAACTGTGTAACCGAAGTCGAGCGGTGCCTAGCTCACCGGACAAAGCCAGCACGCGTGCAAGGCTAGTGCGCACGGGCTCCGTGCCCGTAAGGTCATGATTCCCAGTCATCAGCGTGAGTGATCGAAAGTTAGATGAGTGCGGGCCGCGGGATAAACTTCGGCTTCTGTGGAGCCTGGATATCGGGAAGTTCGGCGTCTTCGATGTTGGCAACGATTTGCCTCTTTCAGCCGCGTTCGGGTGCTCAAGAATAGCACGCTAAACTTTGTGGGGACAGGACGATCGAGGGAGCATGAGGGAGCATGTCGTGCGTATTCCCGAGACGCAAACATTAGAGGACTTGCGTGAAATGGGCCCCGCTGCGTGCTGATGGCGTGGGAGCGTACGCAAGACATCGCTCCCTTATCAGCTGCCTTCAGATCTCATATCGGTTGCTGCTATCTTGTGCGCAGACACCTGTATCACACTAGCCGCAGCACGTCAGTGTATAGCGTCGCCCCTCCACGCCATGGCAACCACACAACTTAACCGGGTCCTGCACGCTCACGTCTGTTCGCCGGTCCGCGGTCCGTGGGACCCGTGACTGGCGGCGCTGAGCGGATCTAGAATCATTCGGCATATCCGCGACATGTGTGATCCTCTGATGTGATATGCCCTGGCGATAAGCTCCAATGTGGCGGTGAGTGGACATCGCCTGGAGCACTGGCGGGTGGGCATGGCGGTGAACGCGGGCAGTCTAAGTAAACCAAGTGCACGACGATTGAATAGACGGGCACTTTCTGCTGATAATAGCGGCGTTCCTATCTGGCTTTGAGGTACCCGGTAAAGCGTCAGACGTCCGGCTTTTCCAGCCCAGTGAGTAGTCGCAGTCTCATCTGCAGAGGCAAGAGGACAAAGCAGAAAGAGTGGGCAAGGGACCGGAAATGCCGAAGATCACTTCGCAGGAAAACAAGCTAAACTGAAACAAACGCCACTGACATGCTCGCGCGTCTAGTAGCGAGGCAATGACGGGTTGTTCGCCGAACAGAACGCAAAACTGTAACGTAAAAGAGCAATCAACTGCACAGGAAGATGCCTACCCAGAGGACTAAAACTGCAGTGGGACACCAAGGGACGCGTGCAACATGTCTTAACGTGGACTCGGTCACGCGGGTCGCTTGCAATTGTGCCCAGCGGTGGGGCCGAACCTGGCCATTCATGAACCGGGCGTGCCGGCAAGAAAGCGGCAGGGCCTGGCGCTAGCGTGCCGGCTGCCTGAGGCAGCCTGAATAACGCGTCCCGTCACCATCGCCTGTGCACTGCACGTCTCATACGTAACTCTTTGCATGCCCTCCGGTTGGCCGGCCGTCTATTCTTGATCGGTGATGTACGTCCCAGTTGCAGAGTGTGCTCTGTCCCTCCCCTCACTATCCCTCAGCTCACGCACGGCTACATCCGCACCCAATCGGCGACCCGGCAACATAGACGGCTTGTTTGCGGGGCCATGACGCCTGCGGATCGACGGCTCATCAGCCGCGACGCCAGAGCAAGTTCTCGCCAGCCTTTCGGCGGGTCGCACACGATCGCAGTCGTTAGTGCCGGAGAAAGCGGCGCGCCCATTGGCGCGCGCATTCGTGCTCATGAGCACCCTCAACTTTCTCTAGAGCATCAATTGCGCACGCAGTAACACGCGGGCAAAGGTGGCGTTCTGTTGGCTTCCCAGCTGCCCCCACTGATCGAGCTGTTGCCCCACGCCTGACGGCCGCCGCCGGCGGAAGGCGCAGCACATGCTCACCATTGCTGTGTCCTGAGCTAGCGGATCTCTCTCCGTGGGGCTCTGAGAGTCTGTGATATCGTCAGCTCTTGTGGATAAGATATATAACACGGCATGTCTATCAAGCTGCCCCTTTCTTCCCGTATCGCCTGGCGACGTCCTCCTCGCCGAAACTCTCACCCGCCTCTCGGCCCCCACATTGCCCGACTAGCAACTGACAGCCCACGATGCTGCTCACCAACCTTGTGGCCCTTCTGCCCCTCCTCGCCGCTCCTGCTCTGGCGCAGGAGGAGGATGAGTTTGGTATGGACTTCACCCGCGACCTGGAGCAGCGTCTCCAGAACGTCGGCGTTTTCAAGAAGCCGCTGAACAAGCAAATGCGCGTTGGATCGCCCTGGGGCCCGCACTGCTTCACGCAGAAGCGCTCCCACTTTGACGGCAGCACTGAGACGTTCTGCCAGCAGTACCTCGTGAACAAGGAACACTACAAGCCCGGTGGTCCCGTCTTCATCCTCGACAATGGCGAGAGCGAGGTTCTGAGCACGACGACGATGGACAAGGGCTCGCTTGCCTCGCTGCTTGCCCGCGAGACCAACGGTATCTATGTCAAGCTCGAGCACAGATACTACGGTGGCTCGAATGTGACCGAGGACCTGTCGACGGACAACCTGCGTTGGCTCAACGTCCGCGAATCGCTCGAGGACAGCGCGGAGTTCATCCGCAACTTCCCCGTGCCCGAGGGACTCGAGCTCCCCGAGCCCGACCTCCTCACCCCGGCGAAGACGCCCTTCATCTACATCGGCGGCTCCTACCCCGGCGGCAAGGCCAACTGGATGCGCAAGCACTACCCGGACATTGTGTGGGGTAGCATCGGCTCCTCCGCCGTCGTTCACGCCGAGGTCGACTTCTGGCAGTACTTTGACACTGTCGTGAAGCACGGCGAGCCTGAGTGCGTTTCCGCTATTACGGAGAGCATTGCTGCCGTAGACAAGCTGCTCGACGACCCGAAGACGAATGCGGCGATCAAGGCCGTATTCGGATACACCGGGGAGATCTCCAACTGGAGCTTTGGCAACATGATGTCTGGGTTCTACGGCTGGCAGGTTCGCAGCTGGAAGGCGGACACGGACAGCTGGCGTCGGTTTTGCGCCAACGTTACTGCGGGCGCGGCGCAGGGGCAGCTCACCGTCGACTCGCTCGAGGCACCAATTCCGGGCGCTGTCAAGGCCTGGGGAGACCTGAGCAAGCAAAGCATCCTCGACCGCCTCGCGGCGGGTAAAACGGTGGACAACATCATCCAGGCCCTCGACCGCCCCGACCCCAGCAACGTTGGTCTTGACCAGAAGTGGCGCCTGTGGGAGTTCCAGACCTGTACCGAGTGGGGATACAACTTTGCGAGCCCCCACGACCCCAACGCTCCTCGCGCCATCTCCAAGTTCGTCACCGCCAACGAGTACCGCAAGAACAACTGCTACGCCGACTACCTCCCCGGCGAGCATTTCCAGCTTCCCGACATTGCCGACGTCAGCAAGGTCAACTCGCTCGGCGACTACAGCATTGCTGCCGACCGCATGGCCACCGTAGATGGAGAGTGGGACCCCTGGCGCACAATGTCTGTCGGCGCTGAGGGGCAACCCATCCGCGAGGACACCATTGCCCGCCCCCACCGCCTCATCCCCAAGGGCGCCCACTGCTGGGACTTCAGCACCCTCGACGACATAACCAAGGAGCCCAAGGACATCCGCGAGGTCCACGAGTGGGAGCTCAACTTTGTCAAGGCCTGGATCCAGCAGTTCTACGACGAGAAGAACGGGAACGGAAACAGCACCACCGGCGGCGACGGCCACGGTAACGGAAATGGCCACGGCAACGGCAATGGCCACGGAAACGGAAACGGCAATGGTAACGGCAATGGCCACGGAAACGGCAACGGAAACGGTCATGGCAACGGCAACGGCAATGGAAAGGGCAATGGAAAGGGTAACAATGGCAACGGCAACGGAAACGGAAACGGCAAGCGCCGCCTCAGCTTTGAGTGAGCCACCCATTCTGTACTCCGCCTGAGAAGACGATCAGAAGTATAATCAAATTGCGATAAGTTTATAGCGATTAGTAGTAGCATCTCCGCATGCAACGGACTTTGCCCCTCTTGATAAGCCGGTGGGGCAGCTTGACACTTGAAATGCTTACATGTACGACAACATCGGGGACTGTTCACGCCCGGACTCTATAGGTTAGATTGCTTTCAGTTGGGATTAGCATGGCGAGAGGCGTCGGTGTTGACACACCAGCACCTCGTGATATGTTCGGCTGTGCTTACGCCTATCGAACGAAGCACTTGTACGTCGCCCAGGCGCCTAGGACGGCAAATGCCGCAAGACAGCCAAGGATACCACCGAACCAGGCGTAGCCTTCCTTAATGTCTTCGCCCGGGACGTGGACGTTCATACCCCAGAGACCGGTGACCAAGTTCATGGGAATGAGCACGGTACCGAGCGCAGTGAGCTTGGACAGGACGTCGTTGATTTGGTTGTTCGCGTCGGTCATCTCGATCGAGATTTGCGCGAGGTAGTTCGAGTGCGAACGCGAGAGAATCTTCTCGTAGTGGTTCAAGTTCTGGTGTCAGCTTTGTCTCCTCAAGAACTTGAAACTTACACTCGTCATAGTGATCAAGTGGTCCTGGATATCAGAAAGATAGAGGCCAATGTCGGACTTCGGCGCGACGAGCCAGTTCTCATTGCAGCGCTTGGCAAGACCCTTGACGACATCGGCCTTTGAGCCCATGAGACGCAGCAGACCCATGACCTTCTTGCGGCATGTGCCGATGCGCCTAAGCATATCCGTTTGCTCTGCTTCCTTGAGTATCAGAACTAGCTCGTCGATGCTGTCCGCTTCGTATTCGATACTCTGGATGAGCGGGCCGAAAGCGTCGGTAATGTCGTCAATAAGCGCGTACGAGATCCAGTCGGATGTAACACTGATGTAGTCCTTGAGATGCTTGATGCGGCGACGCACATTCTGCGGGTGCGGCGTGCCACGGAAGTGGAACGAGAGCGTACCCTCCCGGAACACGATGATGTACATGTTCAGCGGCTCAAGGTACGTCTGCGAGTACGGGTCCTGGTCGAACGAACGGAAACACACAAGGTAGTAGTTCCGGAACAGCTCAATCTTTTCGCGCGTCTCCTCGAGCAAAATGTCTTCAGTCGTGAGGGGGTGGATCCCAAACGTCTTGGACAGCATGCGCATCTCCTCGTCGGTCGGGCTGAGGACATCCAGCCACCAAGTGTATGCCTCTGGGTCTTCTTCGGCCGTTACTCCGGGAGGGATCCCCGGCGGGGTGCTCTTCGCTGCGGCGTTTTGCAGAGCCTGGTTAGCCAGGGCTCTTGGGTTTGATAAGGAGAGCTGACTCGGATCGTTTGGCGTGTTCCTTCCCGAATAGGCGTACTCTCCAGAGTCTCGAGCACCTGCTGAGAGGTTGTTGTTCCTTCCCTTAAAAAGATCCTCGAAACTCTGGCCCTCGGCAGGAAGTTCAGAAATGTTGCGCGCATGAATCGTGACGGGGAGAGCGTTGGAGTAGAAGGAGAATCGGTATGGCCGATCATGGCCCTTGGTGGCTGGCACGACGTCGGTGTACTCTTCGAAGACTGTTGTTCCAGGCGCCTCCACGCTCGGCTGTTGCTGTTGGTGGCCGTGCCTATGGCGAGGAGCCTTCAGAGCACCAACAGCGTCATCGCCTCCACCATTCCCAAAATTCTCGAACAGAGCGAGCTTCGCTTGCCGACGGCCGGGGTTGTTCTGGGCCTGCTTGCGAGCGCGTCGGCGGTGGAAGTTGGTCTGAGGGGCGTCATCCTCCTTTGGCAGTTCCTCCGCTCCTTCCATGGCTTGGGTCTCGGAACTTGCCCGGCCAAGCATTGCCTTGTCGCTCGTGTCGCTTTGAGAGAGTGGTGGTTCGCCAACAGACGTCGACTGAGCAGCGAAAACTGTCCTCTTCCGCGGTGCCGCCTCCTGCTCACCGTGCAGTCTCACACGTTCTTGCGCGGCGAAGTCTTCCATTTCGTTGAAATCGAAGTTGCTGACGATACCATCTGCGCCCACCCGATATGTGGGCTTCCTTCGCGCCCCCGGGTCGGAGCCTCGACGTTGGCGGTGCTGCTCGAAAGAATCGGTCGACTCAGAAGCGTGTAAGGCCTTGACGTTGGCGTCATACTCGGCTGAGTCCACCTCTTCCTGCTCGTGACGAGCGCGGGCGATCTCGCGTTCCTCTGAGTCGGATAACATGCCGAAAGGCGTTTCCTCGATGGGGCTAGACGAGTACCTTCCCATCGTGCCCCGTAAGACAGGAGAGCGGTCGACCAGGGATCCAGACCGCGCGCGAGCTGCAAAATTAGCGATGATGATCAGCAGAAGACAACCTACACATGCTCATGGCAGAGTCAATATCCTGCTGCATTTGGCGCTGAACGTCGGCATTGTCGCGGTAGCTTGAGCCCACGGTGCTTGGGCGGTGGCTTCCCAAGGCATTGACCGGGGAACGCGAGGCCGAGCTTGACAAGGTCCGCTTAGGCGTCTGGCCCTCTATGGCCATCGGCGACGTCGGACTGGCAGCGGGAGGTGACATGACGGGCGATGCGGTTGCTTTAGTAAAGCGAAGAGGTGTTGGAGTGACTCTTCGAATAGGGCGAATCGGGATGCGCCCGCACGCCAAGACAAGAGGTAAATGTCGGGAAGAAGACGGGGCTCACAAGAGCACTATGAAGATCGGCCAACGCGTGATGCCATTCCCTGGACGTCTGCGATGGGAAAGCGAGAGTTTGAATTGGAAGAAGTGAAGAAAAGTTGCTGCTGTTGAGAGCGTCGGGTGGCGATGGAAAGAGCAAGACGAGGAAGGCAAAACGGTAAGCGGGCCGAAAATGGCAATGGAGTGGAGAGTGGAGATCTGCAGGCGACCGTCATATGCTAACTGCGTCGACTAGTGTCTATTTCCCACCCATCCTGCTGCGCACGTGGGTGGGTGGATCCACCTTCCTTCGCTGCATAGGAACAAATAATCGATACATGGCATCACCGGCCTGGTCTTGGTACAACATTGGTCCGTCATGTCTAGTAGCCCCCTCCGCTGTACTGTGCGTTCGCTCCCTGCTTCCTCCTCATCTCTTCTTCAAGCTTGGGACAGTCTGCGATGCCGTGGCCGAGGCCGCCACAGATCGCGCAACCCTTCAGAAGCCCGCCCTCACCCGCTCGGGGGTCCTCGATCGAGAGCAGGAACTCCGGGATCCTGGGATGTTAGCAGACTGTCGACGGATTGGACTCACTTCTGCTTCGCTTCCATAAGCAAATACTTCAGATCCAAGAGCGTCTGGTCGGATGTGTTGTGATTAATGAACGTCGTCGCAATGCCTGTCTTCCCTGACCGTCCGGTGCGTCCAATTTCGTGAACGTAGTCCTCTATCTCTTTCGGCATCGTGTAGACAATTACGTGCTGGATCTCGTTGAAGTCGAGTCCCTTGGAGGCGACACCTGACGCAACCATGACATCCTTCTGACCGGTCTTGAAGGACTTGATCGCATACTCTCGCTCATCTTGAGCTGCCAGGTCAGCACTTGGGAAGGTGTTTATGCACTCACTCTTGCTGCCGTGAATAGCGACAGCCTCTACACCCTTCAGCAGAAGATACTCCTGAATGTCTGTGCGTTAGTGAAGGCTCGGTGACAGGCACGCACCGTCAACCTCGTTTTTGTTATCACTGAAGATGATGACGGGTGGTGGTGTCTTCTGCAGGCACTCCAGAAGATAAACCATCTTGGCTTCCGGCTTGACATACTCGACCTCTTGGACGACATCCATGTTTGCCGCACCAGCACGACCCACGTTCACGAGGACGGGATTGATCAGAGACTGATGCGCAAAGTCTTGGATCTTCCGAGGCATCGTAGCCGAGAACAGAAGCGTCTGTCGCTGGTATTTGAAGTGGCTCATAATGCTACGAACGCTGTCTTCGAAGCCCATGTCGATCATGCGGTCGGCCTCGTCCATGCACAGGTACTTGCAATTGTCGCAGTTAAGACGATTCTTCTCCAGCATGTCGATCAGCCGTCCAGGGGTTGCCACCACGATGTGAACACCTTTGTTGAGAACATCGGCTTGGTCTGCCATACTGATGCCGCCGATACAGAGCAACGATCGCAGTTCGGGGTACTTGCCACTGTCGGAGAGCGCCTTGCACATCGCCACGCAGCCATCAAACGTTTGCCGGGCAAGCTCGCGCGACGGGCAGATGATCAGTCCCGCCGGTCCCTCGCCCTTGACAAACGGTAGCTTTGACTCCATCTCCAGAGCCTGCATCACAGCCGGCAGAGTGAAAGTGAGGGTTTTGCCCGAGCCGGTGAAGGCAATGCCTATCATGTCTCTTCCAGCGAAGGCTGCCGGGATGCCCTGCATCTGGATGAGGGACGGCCGCTTGATGCCTTTGTTGTCGAGGTACTCAAGAATAGGTTGGGGTATCTTCATGTCGGCAAAATTCTCGATAGTCGGGGGCGGATCATTCCCCTCAACAATGATGGAGTACTTGTCACGAACTGCCTGCTGCTCTTCTGCGGAAAGACTCCGAATGTAGTGCGGTGGCCGCCAGGTCGACTTCATGCTCTCGGTGTAGACAGTGCCTTTCGCGAGCTCCTGTGCACTGGCAAGTTTCTTCTGAGCCCGCTCCATCTGAGCCAACAGAGCGGCCTCCTCCTCAGCCTCCTTCTGCGCTTTGGTCTTATTCGCATCTGTAACGGAGTAAGCCACCAAAGCTCATCCGAAACTCACCTTCGAGCTCCTTCTGCCGCTTTACTTCTTGTGCCTCCTCCAGCAGTGTCCTTTCTCTGCGAGTCTTCTCTCTTTCCCGTTCCAGAGCATCCTCAATCTGCTTCCTGGTCTCCTCCTCGTCGGGCCCATCGTCCTGAAGAGTCTTGAGCTTCTTCGGCTGGTTGCGACTTCCAAGGCGCGACAATAGCTGCGCTCTTCGCTTCGCTACCGGGACATATGGCTTGTAGTCTTCTGGCACCGCATAAGGATCGTTACCTTCCGCTTTGTCAGACATGCTTTTGGTGGTGGTATATGACGGTGAGGGACATGTTGAGGGGTGGACATGCCTGGTGGAGGCGCGGTTTAACGCAGGCCTTCGATTGCTTCGCCGCCCAGTGGACTGTGTTGCAGGCCTATCTTCAGGCCTATCAATATACATCCGCTAATGGGATGCAACCGAGGTCTTTAGCAATCGACCGTACTGATTAGCAATGATTAGCAACCCCGATTACCCAGCGACGGTGCGACGGCCTTCGCAGCCCTCCGGCAGACGCGCGGACTCAGCACTCATCATCATCATCGTCGACCTCACCACCTCATTACTACCACACAACCCATCTCCCTACAAGCCCCTACTCATCCTTCCACCTGCATCTACTCCCTTCCCACACTCTAGTTTCTGGCATTTATAATACTCTTAGGCTTGGTGCTTGGGTTTCCGTCCTCGTCCTCCTAAGCGTCATACTGTAAGTACTGTTGCACCCACGACCCCTAGCGCCACCATCTCTTCACTCGCACTTCATTCTCACATCCGCCACCCCGCTCATTACTGACGTTCTACACAGGCTCTCTACCCCTCTCAGCTAGACTTGTTCATACCTCCGCTTAGCTGACCTGGAACGATGGAGGTGAGTAGAGCGCCGCGCCACTGGGCGTTGCCGTGACATTCCAAATGGAACGTGCTACTGATACGTGTGAACCAGGCTGTCTTGGACTTCTCCAAGGATCTCGACATCAAGTGAGTCCATCAAACGCTGCTATCGCAACTGTGTGCTAACGTATGCAGCCTCCTGGACCAGGTTGTTCAGGCCTTCTACGGTGGCTCGGGTGCCGAGGTGCGTTGTTTTGCCTCTGAAATGTCGAAGGCGAATGGAGCTGACCGCGATGCAGCAACAACAGGCCCAGCAGGTTCTCACCCAGTTCCAGGAGAACCCCGACTCCTGGCAGCGCGTGCCCGCTATCCTGGAGTCCTCGAACAACCTCAGCACGAAGGTTAGTGTTGCCAGCGCGTGGTTAGGATGTTTTAGGGTCACTAATGCGCGCAGTACATTGGACTTCAGATCCTCGAGAAGCTCGTGAGGACAAAATGGAAGGCGCTTCCGGCCGATCAGCAGCAGGGCATCCGTAACTTCATTGTGCAAGTTACCGTTGATATCTCCAGCGATGAGGCTCGCATGCGTAGGGAAAAGAGCTACCTCAACAAGCTCAACCTCGTCCTGGTCCAGGTGCGTCTATATGCTGCGGCTCCGCGGGCTTTCGAATGCTAACAAGTTCAGATTCTGAAGCAGGCGTGGCCCAAGGATTGGCCGTCGTTTATCCCCGAGATCACGACGTCGTCGAGGACGAACCTTTCGCTGTGCGAGAACAACATGGTCATTCTGAAGCTTCTGTCCGAGGAGATCTTCGATTATTCGGCGGAGCAGATGACTCAGGCCAAGACCAAGGCGCTCAAGCAGACGATGTGTGGCGAGTTCTCCGACATCTTCACGCTGTGTAACGAGGTCCTCGAGAAGGCGAACAAGCCCAGCCTCATCAAGGCGACCCTTGAAACGCTTCTCCGCTTCCTCAACTGGATCCCGCTGGGTTACATCTTCGAGACGCAGATCATCGACCACCTCGTCAACCGCTTCCTCGAGGTGCCCGAGTTCCGCAACGTCACTCTCAAGTGTCTTTCCGAGATCGGCGCTCTCAACGTCGGACCCGAGTACAACAACAAGTTTGTCATTCTTTTCCAGATGGTCATGACGAGCGTGAACCGCATGGTCCCCCCGAGCACCGACCTCGCCTCGGCCTACGAGAACTCGGACGACGATGACCAGCAGCTCATCAAGAACCTCGCCCTTTTCCTGACCAATTTCCTCTCTTCCCACCTCCGCCTGATCGAGACGCCCGAGTCAAACGAGCTTCTTATCAACGCCCACCTCTACCTCATCAAGATCTCGACCGTCGATGACCGTGAAGTCTTCAAGATCTGTCTGGAGTACTGGGCGAAGCTTGTCGCGGAGCTCTACGAGGAGATCCAGTCGCTGCCGATGGGCGACATCAACCCGCTCATGAACCTCAACCTCGGAAGTGGCATGGGTCTTAACGGCAACCAGAGCCTCATGCTTAACGGTGCGCCTCTGAGGAAAACAATTTATGGCGAGATCCTGTCGAACCTGCGACTGGTCATGATCGAGAAGATGGTCAAGCCCGAAGAGGTTCTCATCGTTGAGAACGACGAGGGAGAGATTGTGCGCGAGTTCATGAAGGAGAGCGACACCATTATGCTCTACAAGAGCATGCGTGAGGTGCTCGTTTACCTTACTCACCTCGACGTCGCCGACACGGAGCAGATCATGACGGACAAGCTCGCCAAGCAGATCGACGGATCGGAGTGGTCGTGGAACAACCTCAACACCCTCTGTTGGGCCATCGGCTCCATCTCTGGTGCGATGAACGAGGAGACGGAGAAGCGCTTCCTCGTCACTGTCATCAAAGACCTTCTTGGCCTCACCGAGATGAAGCGTGGCAAGGACAACAAGGCTGTCTGCGCGTCTGACATCATGTACATCGTTGGCCAGTACCCTCGATTCCTCAAGGCCCACTGGAAGTTCCTCAAGACTGTCGTCAACAAGCTCTTCGAGTTCATGCACGAGACCCACGAGGGTGTCCAGGACATGGCGTGTGACACTTTCATCAAGATCGCCCAGAAGTGTCGTCGTCACTTCGTGATGCAGCAGGCGGGCGAGCACGAACCGTTCATCGACGAGATTCTCCGCAACCTCCACCGCATCACTGTCGACCTCCAGCCTCAGCAGGTTCACACTTTCTACGAGGCTGTTGGATACATGATCTCGGCTCAGCCCAACAAGCCGACGCAGGAGAGGCTTATCGAGAAGCTCATGGAGCTGCCCAATAGTGCCTGGGACCAGCTCATGCAGGCTGCGGCCAGCAACGTCGACGTGCTCGGCGATACCGACAACGTGAAGATCATGTCCACTGTTCTCAAGACGAACGTTTCGGCCTGTACCTCTATCGGATCGTTCTTCCTGCCCCAGCTTGGACGCATCTGGCTCGACATGCTCGGTCTTTACAAGGCTGTCTCCGGCATCATCAGCGACCAGGTTGCTCAGCAGGGCCTCATTGCCACCAAGACGCCCAAGGTCCGCCAGCTGCGTACGATCAAGAAGGAGATCCTCAAGCTCGTCGAGACCTACGTTAAGAAGGCCGAGGACCTTGACGGTGTGGACCAGAACCTGATCCCCGGTCTCCTCGACGCCATCCTGGGCGACTACAACCGCAACGTTCCCGCCGCCCGCGACGCTGAGGTTCTGAACGTCATGGCCACGATCGTCTCGAAGCTTGGTTCGCTCCTCATCCCGCAAATCGCTCCCATCCTTGACGCTGTGTTCGAGCCTACCCTGGACATGATCAACAAGGACTTTGCCGAGTACCCTGAGCACCGCGTCGGCTTCTTCAAGCTGCTGCGTGCCATCAACCTGACGTGCTTCCCCGCGCTCATTGAGCTCCCGCCAGCGCAGTTCAAGCTAATCATGGACTCTGTTGTCTGGGCCTTCAAGCACACCATGCGAGACATCGCCGACACTGGTCTTAGCATTGCCTTTGAGATCGTCAACAACTTCGCCTCGTCATCACCGGACATTGCGAACGCTTTCTACCAGCAGTTCCTCCTCCCCCTTCTTGGAGACGTCTTCTATGTCCTCACCGACGCCGACCACAAGAGTGGCTTCAAGATGCAGACGATTCTGCTGGCCCGTCTCATTTCGCTCGTCGAGACCAACTCGGTCCAGGCGCCGCTCTGGGACTCTGCCACGATCAACGACCCGTCAATGAACAACGTCACATTCCTCAAGCAGTACATTGCCAACCTGCTTACGAACGCATTCAGCAACATGTCGCCGACGCAGATCAACGCCTTTGTCAACCTCATGTTCGAGCACTCGGCTGACCCCAACAAGTTCAAGGGAACGCTCCGAGACTTCCTTATCACTCTCAAGGAGTTCTCTGGAGATAACGCCGATCTTTACATTGAGGAGAAGGAGGCTGAGGCCGAAGCCAAGGCTGCCGCTGAGCGCCAGGCCGCCGAGCGTGTACCCGGTATGCTCAAGCCTGCCCAGATTGTCGACGACGACGCCGAGCTCTAAGCCGCGCTGCCTTCGAAGGAGCATGCGGAGGGCGTCGAGCGTACCGTTACATCTCGAGGACAGCAGGAGTGCGAGAAATTTCAGGGGCGTTATCAGTAGAAGACTGTTCAATTTTGCATCGAGCTCTCGTCCTGGCCTTTTGGGGTCGACGAGAGCGGCACAATGTTTGCATAGGTGTGGTGATCCCAGAAGGTGTATACCCCGTACATATTTTTATTACTACGATGTTAGCGTATGAAGCCATTACTCTTAATCGGGACCAGGACAATTAGCAGAGCACCGATGAACCACGGTCGGTATCGGTACCGATAACAGGCAGGCCCGAGCGCCGGCCCGGCATGTCGGCATGCGGCACATTACACGGCACGCACGCACGCTATCTACTGCGTTCCTACCATTCCAGTCAAGCATATCTCCCTTCCTGTGGCTGAGCCGTTTGAAGGACCGAGTCAGGCAGGAAGGGCGAGTGTCATGGTAAACCTGCCGATAAACCGTCCGAAAGGGATAACCACCCGAGCGGCGCAGCGCCCAGCGCCCGGCACTCATGATATCGTCGTGGAACGGCCGTGTTCTTGCGCCGTTCGGTGCATTTCGCCGTTTGCCTTCCGCGTCGATATCACAAGCCGGACACTGAGCGCACTTCATCACTTTATTCTTCCTCCATGATCATTTGTTACCCAACCTCATCGCCTTGCTCTTCTAACAGCACCAACTGATATCCCTCTCGCCATGTACATCGACAGCATCGCCTCCGCCGCGACAGGCACTCGACTGGAGGTCACCTGGCATTCAGCATCCAGATAAACTCGCCATGCCTCGGCGTTGTGACTCCGGGCTCTCCACCGAGCGGCCAAGCTCGACCAAGCGCACTGGCAACGGCGCCTGACACTGTCGATTTCTGGCTCCGCACTGCATCGCCATACTCTGCGCTTTCCACCCTCGCCTTTCCCGATGTCCTTCCCCTCCTCCTCCTTTCTCGCCCTCGACTTATAGGCCGCTGACAGAGATAGCTGACAGACACTCACGTGACGATAGGCATCAGCGGTGACTTGATTACGATCAGGAAGTACCTCGAGTTGATGTCGATGACACCCTGGAGACGTCATGCTCATTTGTCGTAAGCGCATCCACGGGCTCTTTGGAATCCCACTATGTCCCGACACGGAGGTACGGACTCCTTCGTACCTGCGCTCCTGCGATCCCTGTGACGCCGAACCCTCCGCGAATTTACACAAGATCAACTTAGCTCGGCGCCCGGCGAGAATTCGGCGCATACCCGGAACCCCTCTATATCGAATCGCTATCGACCCACCACACCCACCCGTCAGGCACTAACGCACGAAAGGTGATGAGGGAGATGTCGACAAGGTGCGGGAAAGTCAGCCTCCTTACCCCCACCCGATACGGTGCACCCACTTCCCACTGTTATGCTATGCGGTCGGGGGCCTCGACGACGGCCATCTATTCCTGGCCCCGTCGCTGTTCTCGATATCCGGTGGATCCAAGGGAGCAAAGATGGAGGGAGTGGGGATGGAGGGTGAGCGGAGCCCTCTCACCGCTCGCTGGACCCCGCAACCCCAAGCGGGCTCCGTAGGCTCCGCAGATTCCGCAACGTTAGCGCGCATCGCTCTTCTACCTCTGCTCCCTGTTTCCCCATCCTCAGATGTGCTCCAGGATAGTGTTCGGATGCGCGATTAGATCTCCTGGGCTCGCGTAGTTCGGCCCCAACTCAATCGAGTGCCTAGCGGGTGCTATCCCGGGCCATTCTCGGTGACATTTTCATCAACGTTCATCTGGCCCCCTCGTCGCGGCTCGATGTGCGTCTGAGGTCTGATCATGTGAAGGTACCTCGGGCAGACATGCAGACACAGACACAGAAGCGGCACGAGTTACGCTTGACATGCTCCGAGGAGCTTAACGGCGCCAGGTTGCGCGCCAGTCGGTTGTCGCCATTCGGGGCACCATTGTCCGTCAATGAATGGCGGACGCGGGAGACGCACAGACCTCGCCTCGCCCGACCTCAAATCGTCCGAGCCAGCCGTCGCAAGACCGAGGACGTTGAGGGGACGAGCCCAGCAGACGCCGGATCGCGGCCCGTCATCGGATTGTCAGGTCGCGTGTCACTTGCAGGGGCTCATTGTCCATGGTCGGCGGGGTCGCCGGACTGTTACTAGCGAAGGGACCGCCTGACATGACTAGGACCTTGACCGACCGATGCGAAGTTAGTTAATAGGGGCATACCCGAGCGCTTCTGATTGAGGTGACGCTGTAATAAGATCAGCTGAGGTACAACCGCTCGTTCCTTTGGAAGCAATGCGTGCCGTGACACGAACGAACGTGCTGCTCTGTGTGACTCGCTCGATTACCTGTCAAGCAAGCCTGGCTGTCGGACCGCTTCCAGCCGGCTGCAAGCGACGCCACTTTGGTTGCTCCGCACACGATGCACGAGGGAGCGTTACGCCCAGCTGACCGCCTTCCGGGCCATGCTGACTACACCAGTATGAATCCTTCGCCACCAACATTGCACGCAGCAAGCGAGGTGGGAGGTGTGGGGCAGAAGGCAGCTTGGCTGACACACGCCAAGCGGGTGCATATCACTTGACATCGTTGCTGCCATACGTGCGCCAGCTCGGTAGCTTGACCGGTGCCGTGGATGCTGACCAATGTACTGAATCGCCCCCCGTGATGTGCTTTGCGGCAACAAACGCCCGATCCCCCACTCATCCACCCGCATCGTTCGGCCGTCTGGAAGGCTGTGTCTCGACCCCGTGATCATGTCTCCTAAGGAATGTTGGCACGCTTGCGACTCCCTCTCCTCTGTCCCACCGGCCACAACGGCGATCAAGCTCTGTGTATTACGGCATCGAGCTGCTTGCTCTTGTCTCGCCTTTTCAGAACAATTCACCTCGAGGTCCAAGGCACTCTCAGGCACTGACACCCAACCCACCCAGGCACATGCAGAGTGGCCGTGACGCTGCAGTGTGCTGCGACGTTATGCGATTGTGCGAGCTTGCGAACTTGCACGCCTTCTACGTGGTCGGAGGTGCGCCGAGAGAATTTCAGCGGAATGCACCCGAGGCTATTGTGGCGGATGGTCGGTCAGCTGGCACTGTGGTGCTTGGGGCGATCAACAACCACGGCTGTTGACACTGTGCAGGAATCAAGAGGTACACAGAGGTACTGGGAGAGGAACTGTGCCTTCGATCGCGTAGCGCGTCACTCGAACTGTGGCGTTCGACGCCAGCGAGCTACGACCAGACGCGCCAATCTGCGATAGACTAGCGATAAAGTTACTCGTCGTGGCTGGTGGCTCTTACGGCGCTCGAGACACGAGCTTGTATTGGCCCGGCGCATTGGATGAGACGAGAGTCTCCGCGCTAACGGAGAACGTGGACGCATACCAGAACCGAAACGGAAGTTGGAGAAGGAACGCATCTGACGGACATGTACAGCACACCGGGCTGGACGAAAAGTGGAGCCATGAACGATGGAGTAGTAGATCCACGAAGCATGCGTTGCCTCTTTGGGGTCGGCCCCTCCTGCAGGGTTGGCAGACTTGGTCTTTGGGTCGGTGGCTCGGTGGTCGCGTGCGGGAGGAGAGTTTAGTACGAAGTGTGTGCTCGTGTGCGGCGACTGCGGAGTGTATCCGGGCATTGGCCGCAGCACTTGCAGATCATGCCACACGACACGGCAGATCAGAACGCTGACTAACGTCTTTCACCAACAGCGGGAATCGTCGGCGTCGGCGACGCGTGTCCAGGACGCAAGTCGTCTCTTCGGGTTTGGAGTGTACGACATTGCGACAAGATCTGGGCAGGGATCGAGCACCGAAGTAAGGCTCGAGGTCTAGCCAACCAAGACCCACGTCTTCGATCTCTGGACACCGACGATATCACCTTTGGGAATACCGGCTAGAATCGCATCTTGATCCGGAGCAACGTTGCCCACCTTTGGGATTTTCGACGGCAGCTTCGTGAGCTCGCGCGACCTTGCAAAGTTATCTCGCGCTAGCCGCCGCCGCTATCCCGTGTACCGCCGGTACCGGCCGGCGCCTGCCCTGTGAGCACAGTGTCTTGGCTATCTTGGGACCATGAAATTTCGAAAAGGACAGTCCGAACAGGCCAGGAGTGTCTTGGGAGGCTGCAGGGCCACGGCCGTCCCGCCGGCTTCGACAACGCCGACGTGCGGTAAATGACCCCATTGGCGGGTGGGTCCATGTGACGGCGCCCTGCTGGTTGGCGCTCACGCACGCCGTGCGGCATCGGACGGCGCAAGGCGAATCAGCGGCCAGAAGACGAAAACGGACGCAGAGATTACAGATTGTTCACAGGGACATACGGCAGTACTGCGCTGAGATCAGAGACATCGGCGCCTCACCGATGGCACAGGCGTTCTCAAGCCTCATTCACAACCGCTCAACGCCTCCGCAGAGTCTGCGCACGCCGAGGCTCCGAAGCCTCATTCCATGCCTCTGCAAGCGACGTCGACGCAAGCACGGTTCGCAACGATCCCATACGATCCATGGCTTAAAAATCATCTTCGACAAAAGGCCCTGCCTTTGAAGACATCAGGGAGTGCAGGGCGCGGCCGGCGTTGCCGACATGACCTGACCGAAATAGATGGCCGGAGCGACCCCTGCTAGGATAGGACGCCGCTGAGCGCAGAAGAAGTGTGCACTCCCCGTGATCATTCTGAGGCTCACCAGGCACGCGTAGCCCTGCCCCTGCCCTTTCTGACTGAACCTTAGGACATCGTCGGCCCCATGGATCCCGCGAGCACAAGGGATGCCCCACTGCTGGGTCGGGGGCTCCCACAGCTCGGTCCAAGACAGACCTCATACTCCTCTTCCACTCACGGTTCCGTTCTCGCTTGAAACTTGACGTCACGGATCTCACGCGCCACTTTGTGGGATCAGCGAACATCTGCAAGCGAGTAAGTCAGTCACCTCATTCTGCGGAAGGCGTTGTGGCGGCGCACCCACTCACGTCAGAAGTGCGGACCTGAGTGCCGCCCGTCGTGTGGTCCGATTGGATGGGCCCAAGCTCTGGGCGGGACAGATCCGGAGTGCCCGGAGGGGAGGGGAAGAATGGACGAGGGGAACCGGTCGTTCTGTGCGGGTCGCCCGCGATGTGTGGTGGGGGAGGAGAGAGCAAACGGGCCGAGGTGCTGCAGGGCAAGGGGTTCCAGGGGCTCAGGGAACAGTAAGGGAGGAAGCACCTGGCAGTCGGCAGAGATGATGGTGAGCGGTGCCTGTAAGGAGCACCTGACCTGCACGGCAGGTGGCGATCCACATGGTAGCACATGTTGGCCGGCGCCGCCATCGAGGCTGTCGATGCATCGCGCCTTGGGGCCCAAGGCGTTCTTCAGGAAAACATCCAGGGCCACAACGGCGACTTTCAATGAACAAGCCCAGAACTTTACCGTCTTTGCCGTCACTGGTCCGGCGCCTGAACCAAGCACTTTAGCGCGAGCCCCGTTGGGCCCATCTCGTTAGCTTCAACGCGCCGAGCTAGTTCCAAAAACCAAATCCCAATCTCACGCACCCGTGCCGCGCGCACCGCCTGGGGATGCGTGCCAGCGGCCCAGCGTGCCGTGCCGCGACGCATCGCGCGAGAGACGAGAGAAAGCAAACCCCAAGCCCACTCTTCCGTCTGATCCGTGGTCGCCTGCAGGTCTCGTGCTCTCGCGCTTGCTCATTCATCGTTACCGCTTCTGTCCATGTGCCTAGAATTGACCGTTGCCGGACGACTCAGGCTCAGGACTTGCAAGCGGCAAAGGCAAGGATGGCAGCAGCACACCCATCGGGCCATCAGCCTACTGCCCGGCTGTAGGGCTGATGTGAGGGCTGGCCAGATCGCGAACCAGGTCGTTGGCCGCTCGCCGCTAGCGAGTCTGTTTGGCCTGGTTGGCCCCATGGTCCCCTTGGACCCCCTCGTTCCCCCCTCGTTCCCTTGGCTCGGGGTCACCTGCCGCGCGGCGCGCGCTCGCCCTTCCCCTCGACTCTCACACCGGCTAGCGGGTTTGTTATAAATACGAAGCAGAACCAGAACTGCCCCGCGGTTTCTCGAGCCTCATATCTCTGTTTACTCGCCAGACGGAGGGCTGAACGCCTTTGATCACTTCTAACACCGAGTGTACAGTGAGTAACGAGCGCGCCGCGGTCTTCAGCAGCCGGATGCGCGCGCGAATCACGTTCGTCGCGCGCCCCGGTGGCGCGCGCGGTCGTGTGATGTTGATGAGCGCATGTTTGCTGACTCCGCCAGCTCTTTTCTTTCCTAGCGGACGACCAACCAACGGCCCAAGTCGCCAGTGTCGCCCAGCATGACCAACGGCATCGAGCGCGTTGAGGCGCCCGTTACCTGGAAGGCCTACATGGCTTGTGCCTTCGCCGCCTTCGGTGGTATCTTTTTCGGTTTCGACTCTGGTTACATTTCCGGTGTCCTCGCCATGGACTACGTCAAGGAGCACTTCCGCCCCAAGTCGTCCGGCCCCTACCCGACTGACCCCAACGCCCCAGACAAGGCCAAGGACCTTCCCTCCTGGGTTCGTTCGCTGATCACGTCTATTCTCTCTGCTGGTACTTTCTTCGGTGCGCTCGTCGCTGGTGACCTTGCCGACTACTTTGGTCGCCGTATCACCATTATCGCTGGTTGCGGTGTCTTCATTGTTGGTATCATTCTCCAGACCGCTTCGACCGGATGGCAGCTTCTCGTTGCCGGCCGTGCCATCGCTGGTATCGGTGTCGGTTTCGTCTCGGCCATCATCATTCTCTACATGTCCGAGATCGCCCCCCGCAAGGTCCGTGGTGCCCTCGTCTCCGGCTACCAGTTCTGTATCACCATTGGTCTCCTCCTCGCCTCGTGCGTCGACTACGGCACCAAGGACCGCAACGACACTGGCTCGTACCGCATCCCCATCGCCATCCAGTTCCTCTGGGCCCTCATCCTCGGCGGTGGTATTGCCATGCTCCCCGAGTCGCCCCGTTGGTACGTCAAGCGCGGCCGCCCCGACGACGCCGCCAAGGCCCTCTCCCGCATTCGTGGTCAGCCCATCAACTCCGACTACATCCGTGAGGAGGTCGCCGAGATTGTTGCCAACTACGAGTACGAGCGCAGCCTCATGCCTACCGACTCGTACTGGGCCGGCTGGGCTTACTGCTTCAAGGGTGGTCTCGGTCGCTCCAACTCGAACCTGCGTCTCACCATTCTGGGTACCTCGATCCAGATGATGCAGCAGTGGACCGGTATCAACTTCATCTTCTACTACGGCACTGAGTTCTTCAAGAACCTCGGCACGATCTCGAACCCCTTCCTGATCTCGCTCATCACCACCCTCGTCAACGTGTGCACGACCCCCATCTCGTTCTACACCATTGAGCGCTACGGTCGTCGTGCCCTCCTTATCTACGGTGCTATCGGCATGACCATTTGCGAGTTCATCGTCGCCATCATGGGTGTTGCCAAGCCTGCCGTCGTCGACCCCATCACCAACGTTGCCCGTCCCGAGGACAAGCCCATCGCTTCGGCCCAGATCGCGTTCATCTGTATCTACATTGCCTTCTTCGCCACCACCTGGGGTCCCGGCGCCTGGGTCGTCATCGGTGAGATCTTCCCGATCCCCATCCGTGCCCGTGGTGTCGCTCTCTCGACCGCGTCCAACTGGCTCTGGAACTGTATCATTGCCGTCATCACCCCCTACATGGTCGACCGTGACAAGGGTAACCTTGGCTCCAAGGTGTTCTTCATCTGGGGCTCGCTCTGTGCCACCTGTGTCGTCTACGCCTACTTCATGGTCTGGGAGACCAAGGGTCTCACTCTTGAGCAGGTCGACCAGATGATGGAGGAGGTCCGTGTCCCCTGGCGCTCCAAGGGCTGGAAGCCGTCCACCACCTTTGCCGCCCACGGCCACGATGCCATCGACCAGAAGGTCGACGGCGAGAAGCTCGACCACCCTCAGGAGGCCTACCCCGTCGCCAACCAGGCCCCCATGGGCGGCGCCGCCGGTGGTGTCTAAGCGATATCATATACTTGTACAGCTCTTTTCTTTAGACCTAATAGCATTTCTTCGTAAACAATCAGCACGGCCTTGCCGTCGCATTTTCTCTTAACGCCTCATCGTAGCGGGAAATGTATTACGTGTGCCTACGCGGGGGTCTGCAGCAAACTGAGGTAGACAACTACTGACACATGAATGCAGCGCTGATCCCGATTCAGTGGTGCGATCCTCGATCCTCGCAGCCTCGGTCCTCGGAATCGACATTCCAGGACATGCAAGCGAGCTCGGAAGTTGTTCGGGGGAACGCCGGAACGGTCTCCGCACCGGCGACCACGACCCTAGCTGGAAGTACGCCGCGAATACACCCTGTCAATGCGGTATGCGAGCCAACACCTTCGTCCCTACCGAATGCGCTGTAGTGTCCGTGTATGTTGTCCGTGCAGCCGACAGCCGCCGCAGAAGGAAGCGCACAGTGGCCCCGCAGTCGAGCCGCGCGAGACAAGGGGAAAGGCTTGGGAGGCTATTCTTGCTCGACTGCGGTCATGTCGTGCGAGCTCGCTTGATCACAGGACAAGGAACGAGTAGCGACACGGGTCCCCGGCGAGGCAGCGAAAAGGTCAAAGACAGCCCGTCACGGCCCCGGCGCGGCCCCGGGGTGAGACCGGTGAGACACCGAGGCGACGAGGTCGATCTGAAGATCTCTCCTCGCTTGGTCTTGTTCTCCCCCAACACCAGTAAGGTTCACGCCGCTGACGATGGTGGGGGAGCATTCAGAGGCGCATACCAGCATTGCGGGCAAGTGCCTGCTCCAAAAGCGCCTTGTTGCTTACTCACTGAAGGGGCGTTGACACACAATGGATCAGCACAACCGTCCACCACTCACTGACCTTGCAGATATGAACAGAGCCTGGCAGTCGGTCCAAGGGCAGATTGCGGACAGCTCACCACCATCCGGCGGGACGCTTAAAGTACCAGACAGAAGGGACTAGGACGATGAAAGAATACAGATCCACGGTTGCTGGCGGGTGGCGCACGGTTCACGATCAGAACGGTCACCAAGTCTCCGACACGGGTCGCGGCTTGCTCCATTGATACGGCTGCTCGGGAGGGCGCAATCGCGCGGAAGCGCGGGTACGGCTGCATGGTCACGACGCGACTAGCGCGGCTCGCGCAACGAATGTGCGGTTGCTTTACCCAAATCCTGACCAGTGTCCGTCACTGATCTGCAACTGGACAAATCGATTCAGAAGACCGGTAAGCGCCATTCAGACCACACGAACGCGGACATTGTTATGGCTAGTAGCATACATGACTACAGTTGATGACTAACGGGACTTGCCAGCTGGGCCAGACCGGCTGGCCCCTCAATCACAGTTGATCTTACGAGCTGAATGCAAACTACGGTCGTATCTCGGCGGCTCGGTGGTCCGGACGAGCAGAGATTGTCCAAGCGGGGCGGAGTTGCCCACTCTAGACCTCGTTGAAGCTAACGTGGACGTGATCCCTGTACTCAGCTTACAACGTACTAAAGGTGTAGCTCACCAGTGGTTCTGCGTGATGCTCTTGCGGTCTTCCATGGTGCGCCAGCCCGACCAGGGCCCAACCTTGTCGCGACCGCCGTTCCAGATGCGCTGACCCCAGATCACGTAGTAGACATTCAGCTCGGAGGCGTGGTGCATGACCCACTCGGCGATGTCGGTGCAGCCTGTGCTGCCGAGCTGGAAGTCAGCACCGCGAGTCACATCGCAAGAAAGCCGAGACACTCACACCAGTCTCGTCCGAGCACATGAAGTCAATGGCGCGGCCACAGGGATGCTCAGAGCCGTCCCTGCACTCTCCCTCGCGATAGCAGCCTGCGCTCCAGATGCGGCCGGGGAACGCCTCAACGACCTTCTTGGCCCCAGCGACTGTCTGCGCCTTGCAGCTGCCGACCTCGGGGATGGCTGGTGCGTCGTATGGGCCGTATTTGGCCGCGCTGTCGCAGCACTTGAACTGCGCTCCGCCAGGGCAGAGGTTGTCGGCGGTGTTGCCGCCGCAGTCACTGACCCACCGGCAGGTGCCGTTGAAGGAGTCGCTGGAGCAGTTGGAGGAGCAACAAACGAGGCCGTCTTCGGGGCAGGTGGCCGAGGTCGTGCCGCTGGTGCACTGAGCTGAGGTCTGGCACACGCCTGCTGTTAGCTACGTTGGGAAGAGCACTGGAGCTGATGAGGACTTACCAGGCTCGCCAGAGTCGGAGACACAGGGTTCGCCGGGAGCTGCGAGGATGGTGGTCAGCAGTGGGAGAAGGGTGACGAGGAGGCGCATAGTGATGGCAGGGAGGGGATGGGACTTGCAGCCTCGACACCGTGTTAAGTAGACTTCAACCTCTGCTGCGCATCGCTAGGAGAAGCATGACAACAGCATCAGACTGAAGAACGAGTGACATGGAGCGGACGCCAAGACCATCCTCCAACACGTGCCCGAGAATGTCACTGCGCTTTGTTCATGGGTAAGGCGGGTGCTTAACGCAACAGCATCACAGGCCCGAGACATGTGTGGAGCCTATGCATAGCGTTTCGGCCGAGGCATACATGCACATGCTCATACTGTCGTGAGCCATGCACGTTTCGACCCCGTGTGTCTGTGCACGGCGCATGCAAAAAGCAGTCTCCCGCTTACTGTCCCCGGCCCGGGGGCGGCGAACTGGCGCCATCATTCAGCGGAGCCCGTTACTGTCCCATTGCTGGGGCGGCGGCCAACCGGCTTCGAGGCTTGGAGACTGCTGCACTAACGTGCTGTTGTGTACTGCGGTCGGGAGTTGGACTTGGCCCGTGTGTGAGGGATTGGAGGTAGCTTGGCGATGGGGAGAGGTGGGAGTGCGAAGAGGTGTTTAACCACCGTACAGACCAGCTTGGGCTTGGTGATGTTCCCAGCGCTGGTCGCGGGGCACTCCGGGCGCCTTTTCTGCCCTGAGCGGCTCGGGGGTCTGTAAAGGAGAGGGTCGAACGCCGGAGCGTGCGGCGTGACTGTTGGAGGCGAGGGGGGCGAGAGTGGGGAGTCGCGTGGTAGAAGGGAGTGCGCGGAGCGTACGTGTTCGCGAGAGTGTATGTGTGTGTCCGTGTGAGGGGGACGCGTTGGTGGAGGTCTACACAGACTCTCCGCGTTGACTTCGACGACGAGGCTTGCTTAGATAGTCTAAGGGTCTGCTACACAGTCAACACCAAGCCGTAGAACGCCTTTGCATGCAAACCGTCCGTGCAGACCGCGGAGCAGGCAAGGAAGTTGTGGTCTGCACAGCGATGATGACACCCACAACTTTCCAACCTGCGCCTGTTCGTGCACGGGGAACAGGAGCCTGGGAGGTGTAGTCAATGTACGGAGTCGTAAGCGTCAGAGGAGGTGAGATCAGTGGAAGATGGACTTCGAACTACTACGGGGGTTACTGGTGGGCCCGGTCTGAGCGGCCGCTCCTGTGCCGACCCCCAGTCCACTGGGGTCTCTGGTCGAGCTTGAGTTTCCGACACCATCATTCACCGGCCGTGCCACTACCAACCTGGACCTTTTCGACGTCAAACTTATCCTGGGGGATGTGGGCACCCTGCGAGGAATCCAGTTGCATAAGGCGGATACCTCTGGGCTTGTCGCCATCCTAAACATGCGTACCTCCACCAATCTCATGCTCCGTCAAAGGGGCTGCTGCGTTGCCGCCTAACTCTTGCCTGCCCTCGTCCTCCTTCTCTTCACGTGCCAGATGCTCCTTCATGAGGAAGACCAAGCTGGGATCGGGAAAGTGCTAGCACTGTCAGCCTCACCAGCTGCATTGCACTCACCACCGCCTTGACGCTGCTCGGGACGCACCCAGCGTGCTCGACCTTGATGTTACCGACCAGGACGTCCGCCCAGTGAATGCCAAAGCGGCGCTCAGTACGGGCACCAAACCGCCGCTCGCCGGACCACACGACTCGTTCATGGTTGCAGGTGTCGCGAGGCCCGTGAGCCCAAAGTTGGAACCGCTGACCATCAGTACCCATGTCAATCTTGGCTTCATTGATGGCGTCTATGAGTTGGCCAAGATTCTTGAACGTCCGACCTCGAAGGACGGGCCCGAGCTCCTCATATGCCTCGGGCAACTTGGTGAGTGAGTTAGAGTAGGGATGCGTTGGGCTCACCATGCAGTACGGCAGAGCAGGAGGACACTGCAGCCACTCCTGGATGTCCATGATCTCGCCGGTATACAGCATGCAGCGAGGCGGGCGACTCTCCTTCCGCGCCGCATGGAGTTCAACCATCATCTTGCGAGCCCAAATGTGCAGTCCGAGGAAAAGCTGGGGTGAGTAGTGTGCTCCCATGTTCGTCTGCTCTCCCTCCTCCTTGAGCAGCAGTTCCGGGGGAGCCCCGACGCCGGTCAAGATCTTGGTTAGCGGACCTTCGATACGGAGGAGACCGATAGGATAACCCGAGCAGAGCCTCGCGCGGTGAGTTCCCACGAAGGTGTAGAGAATTTTGTGGGTACTGTGGAAGTCGTACAAAGCTCGAGCAACGGTGTAGAGCCCGGCAGGGACGAAAGGAAGGGCAAGTGCGTATGGGAGGTAGTTGAAGGCGCTCTTCAGGTACTCGTCCGTTGTTGCCGGGACGTGGCCGTAGATGTTTGCAAACCTAGGCTCTTCGGACATGATGACGAGGGGAAGTGTGTTGAGACGAGATGAACAAAGGATGCGGGCTTGTCCACACTACAAGCAGCAATCGTGTGCCGAACGAAGCCTGAAGATGAGAAACAGAGAGAATAGGAAGGCAAGGAGGGAGAGCGCCCCTCCATGAACCCTCCCAGCTGCCGATCAGCGGAAGAAGATGCTGATCCAGCGAGGAGCAGAAACCAGAGGGGCATGGATTTGTGCAACTGTGCAATGCTGCCCGCCTAGCAGGTCAGGGGCGTCGACCTCAGCAAACAAACAAGGTAGGCTTGCGCCCCGAAGATGGATATGGAGACACCTTCTCAGTATAGCCCTTGTGCATCGACGTGTTCAGCAACGAACTTCACAGCTCTCCCCCGCTATCAGCCAGAGGTGAGCTGCACGCCGACCCAACTCAACTGACAACAGGCCCGGCGCCTCACTTCATTCACTCGTATTCAGTGCTCAGATCGAAGGCTTAGTGAGACGACAACGCTCCCTGCCGTGAGTGAAGCGCGCGGCGAGCGCAGCCAGACTTCCGCAGTGTCCTATGGTGAGCTATGGTCATTCCCGCATATAGCTGATGCCAGACGACAGCAGGTCCCAAGGGCGATGATCTATTCAAACCTGCATACAGCCGATGGCAGGATTTAGGGACATTGCATAAGTGAGCTACGCAGCCAGACCAAATAACAGCTAACGTCAGCCTTCGACCAGCAGGCGTCGACAGATGTGACCTCGCTAAGCTGTACGTGACACTCAGGCTGGTATCAGGTCTCCACCGCCAAGATGATGAGCTTCCGTATGCCCAACGTAAAGCTAACCCCAGGCTCTCCACCAATTCGCAGAGGTCGGATGGGTAAGCTGTGCTTTGCCTTACGTGTGAACAAATGTTGGGCTTCAATGGACGCCGAATGGATAAGCTCCCTTGCCTAGAGTTGATTTCAGACTGCTTTGTGCCACAAGTGGTGAGCTATTGTCATCCCGGCGTAGAGCTGACCACCAGACCCCGACTGTAAAGCCTTGGTGAGCTTACAATTAGCGAGCTGTCCTCTGCCCGTAGGTGTAGCTGACACCAGCTCTCGGCAGATGTCAGACCTATGAACAGGCATGTCTCTGTGGTGCGCTGCGACACGTTTGACCTGTGGCCGAGTCTCAGTCCGATAGCAGCTAGCGTATGGTTGCGAAGCTGATCCCCAGTCTTCAACCCACGGCCAGCCAAGCGGAAGTGAGTTTGCATCCTGTTGTGAAACTGACAACCAGCCTGGCGCAAGGGAGCTAGTCCAGTGGTTGTAGCTGACGACAGCCTACCCAGCGCCGCGGGAACCAGCGTTGGCGAGCTCTGCGGCACCAACGCCTGCCGAGCTATGCCGTCCAGTGAGCTCACCGAAGTCTGCGAATAACTAAAAGCAGTCCTCAAGGGGGCCATCGCTCTGAGAGGAAGCCTCACCAAGCTCGCTTGTGCATGTCTGTCCACGCAGGACTCAGTCATCGCGGTGAGCTTCAGTGAAGCGTAAAAAGCTGATTCTCAGCTCTCCAAGGTTGTGAGTTGCAAATCGATCAACATTCAGACCACCAGTCTCGACAGGGTGAGTTTCGTAATGTGTGAACAGCTAACCCCATCTCCTCCATCACTCTGCAAGGAGTTGTACGCTGGGCATCGGTCGGAGGCCTGTACGGTGAACTTGACACCTTGGGCTTAGCTGACGACCAGTCCCGCCCTTTACGGTAGAACTTTGGTCACCCCTTGAGCTGATCTCAGTACCACAAGCTTGCCAATGTGCTCGGGCATTTGAACTGGTGAGCTATTGTACTGATCGGGACAGCTGACGACAAGGGCTTTTGCAGGGCTGAGTTATCCGCGAACAGATGTCGGTGATAGTGCAAATGAGGCAGGAGAGCTGGCTTACGACGATGCAGAAGCTGATGAGCAGATATGAGGCACGGATGGTCGGCTGAGAATGGTCGATTGCATCATAGCTGACGACCTGTTTCGAGGGCGAGGTGAGCTAATGTTTCGTGGTCAAAGCTGATATCAGTATCCCCACCGCGCTGCTTGCTCGGAAGTCCACGGTGAGCTGTGAATTGGTATCTAGGAAGCTAATAACCAGCTCATTCAGTAGAGTAGAGGTTAGTTAACCGCCCTGCTTGCAACTAAGCTTACGCGAACGCAGGCGTCGAGTACTAGGACGGAGACCAGGGAGCTGCTAGTGACCAAGCACGTTGGGGGTGTCCTGGTCTACGAAAGAATGTATCCAGGACAGGGGCTAACCAGTAAGCTCTCTCATGTGTAAGGTAGCTGACACCAGGAGCTTGGGTAGCCATGCTTTCACCAACCCCCGCCGCAGGACTGCCTAGGGAGGGCGCAGGGTACACACTCTCCCTCCAGCTGTGATCAAGGTATGCTATCCATGACTGATCAGTAGCTGATGACAGCGCTTCGGCTGAATGTTCAACGAAAAGTCAGATCGGCAGTGAGCGGCCATCAGTGCTCCCGGATGGTGAGATAGTTAAAATTGCTCACTTCGTCTTAACTGACCTCCCAGCGAGGCCGCTACTCCAGAGCAGGGCTGTGTCTGTCGTGAGCTCCTGCGCGTCTGCCCATGGCTGACTGCCAGCCTGACTCAGCGTGGAGCGATGCCGCCAGTCTCACATGCGGGTCGAATCCGACTCCGACTCGAAGATCTGCCGCAATGTGAGCGCTGAGGAGTCTACTCTTGAGACTCTCGAGCGATACGCTAACGCGTCAAGGGAGCTGAGAACCAGCCCCAGAGGGGCAGAAGGGAGGGAAAAGGTAAGCACGAGCTTCCACGAGCTTCCATCACATTACAGTTGAGCTGACCGCAGTGTTGCCCACTGTTCCGCGGTCACGGGAGTCATACACCGCCGAAGTCTGCTGGTAAGCCCTGTGGAGAATGGAACGTGGCTGAAGAGCAGTCAAGTGGCCGATACTCGTGAGCTGCAGTCCAGGGATAGCCTAATCTCAATCACAGAAACGCCAAAAGGTTGTCGAGGAGAGCCTGGGATCGGCCGTTATCTTGGGGCGGATGAGTTTCAGCCGGGGACTGGGGGCAGGAGGTTTTGCGACGTGGATGAGTATTTGCAAGGTGAAAGAAGAAGAGATGATAGCAAAAGTCAGAGAGTGCAGGATGAGAGGCAGATGGGGAAGATGGGGAAGATGGGGAAGACGAGGAAGACCGGTTGTGAGTTGGTGAGGTAGGAGACACCAGTTGACCGGAACCGGCAAGGACGCGTGCTCGGCACACCCGGGCCGTTGTCCGTTCCAGCGCGGATCGTCGTTCTAGATCTGTAGCTTGCAGCTTCGGGCGCCTGGTCTAATTTCAGTTCATGCGACGGTGGTGACCGCTTAGTAGCGCCAAAGGTGCAGATGTGGAGCCGAGTGGCGGGAGTAACGTGGGAGGCACAGTGGGAGATGTGGGTGGGGGAGGTTCAGCGGGTGCGCTTGATCGAACGAGATTGACGGCGGTGCTCAGTCAGTTAGTAATCGTGACCGGCATGCATGGCGTGGCTTGCGTCTCCAGCTATGGTAAGCAAGGCATGGCCGACAAAGTTGCAGTGGCGACCGGCTCGTACATCCGTGCCGATACGCTGATAACCGGTTGGAAAAGTCGAAAACAACCGGAGGTCTACCAGACAGACGGACGACTGACGGACGCGCGGACACGGGCAGCGGGCCATCTCTGCGCAAGATCCACTCCTGTCGATGGCCGCGCATAGCTTGATCGGGCTGAGGGCAGTGCAGGGCCGAGCATTGCATGTCTGAATAGGGTTGTGACAAGGCGGGGGCCGCCTGTGGACTGTACGGTGAACTTTTGCTGGGCGGCCGCTTATGCATTGAGGGGGCATGGGCTCGGAATGGGAAGTCGCCCCCCACGTGCACCCAGGCACCACCTGCTGAAACCTTCAGACGCTGCGCCTTCAACCAGTCACGACTCCCGGCAAGGCCGGCTCGCCCTGCATGGACGCCGGCTGCCAGCGAGGCATCAACAACGTCACTGTCGGCACAGCATACCCGGTCCCACACTCCCATCGCATCCACTTAAATACCCCGGCTATCTTTTACACTTCTCCAACTCATCCATCCCAATCAGCAAAATGACCTCCTCCATCACCAACGCCCTCCCCAGCCTCGGCAAGGCCCGCATCCTCATCAACTCCCCCGACGATGTTGTCGTTGTCTCCGCAGTCCGCACCCCCTTCACCAAGGTGAGCCCAAATTGCAAAGAGTTTAGCTGACAAACCAGGCTCGCAAGGGCGGTCTCAAGGACATGCTTCCCGAGGATCTCATGAAGGTCGTCATGCAGGAGAGCATCAAGCGCGCTGGTGTTAAGCCCGAGCTTCTTGGGTGAGTATCACCGTGGGTCATGGGAAGAAGTTTGGGGAAAGCTTCTGCAGCGCCCAGACGCCCGCGATCCGCACGGCTTCTTCGAGAGTACGAGCTGACAATGAGTGACGTTCAGGTCGGCACCGTCCTCCCCCCCGGCATGGGCGCCACCGTCGCCCGCATGGCCCAGCTCTCGGCCGGCATCCCTTACACCGTCCCTCTCCAGACTCTTTCGCGCCAGTGCTCGTCTGGTCTCCAGGCCGTTGTTAACGTCGCCAACTCGATCAAGGTCGGCGACTACGACATTGGTATGGCTGTTGGTGTCGAGTCCATGACTGCCAACTATGGTGCTGCGACTATGCCCCCCGCCTTCTCTGACGACGTCATGGAGAACCCGGAGTCGGCTGACTGCCTTCTCCCCATGGGTATCACTTCTGAGAATGTCGCCAAGCAGTATGGCATCGGCCGCAAGGAGCAGGACGAGTTCGCCGCCAAGTCGCAGCAGAAGGCTTTCGCCGCCCAGAAGGCCGGCCTTTTCAAGGAGGAGACCGTCCCCGTCAAGGCTCACTGGACCGACCCGAAGACGGAGGAGGAGAAGGAGATCATTGTCGACTCCGACGACGGAATCCGTGACGGTGTCACCGCCGAGTCCCTCGGCAAGCTCAAGCCCGCTTTCGCTAAGGACGGCTGCACCCACGCCGGTAACGCCTCCCAGGTTTCTGACGGCGCCGCCGCCGTCATCCTCGCTCGCCGCTCGACCGCCCAGAAGCTCGGCCTCCCTATCCTCGGCAAGTACGTCGGCTCCGTCGTAGTCGGTGTTCCCCCCAAGATCATGGGCATTGGCCCCGCCGCTGCCATTCCCAAGCTCCTCGAGAACTACAACCTCAAGGTCGACGACATTGACCTCTTTGAGATCAACGAGGCTTTCGCTTCCCAGGCCGTCATGTCCATCAAGCACTGCGGAATTCCCTTCGAGAAGGTTAACCCTGTCGGTGGAGCCATCGCTTTCGGCCACCCCCTCGGTGCCACCGGCGCTCGTCAGCTCGCTACCGCCTTCTCCGAGGCCAAGCGCAATGGTCAGAAGACCATTGTCACCTCCATGTGTATCGGTGAGTACCCCACGTGACCCTCTCCACCTCCACTTGCGCCCCAGCCAGGGTGAACCTCCACCTCCACCAACCATCCTCTTCATCTCTTACCATCTTCTACACATCCTCTCTCGTCTTCCAACATCATCTTCTTCATCTTTCTTTGTCTTTTGAAGCATAACTAACGTTTAAGGTACGGGAATGGGCATGGCAGCGCTGTTCACAAGCTCCTGATTTTCGTTCCTTGAAGTATTCGGCGTGAAAAGAGCGCATCGACGAGGTCAAGGGATGTGTAGAAGAGGTCGTCGGAAGAGGAACGGGTGGATCGGTGGTGGTATCTAATCTGATTCCGCTAGTCTACATCCGGCTCAGACATCCGGTTGCGCCCCGCCTGCGCCCTCTTGCGCCCTTCCTGCGCCCCTCCTATACGCCCTAACCCCTCGCCGACTGGGCACGTAGATGAGTCGCAGCAAGAAGTAGGAACTGTAAGACTGAGAGATTGTACATACCACACATAGCAACATACCAAAAGGCCATGCATCGGTCGTATTCTCTACACACTCTGAGCAGCTGATGGTCGACCCGGAGCGACAGACGGGCAGCGGCAGACCAGGCAACTGCCATCTGCCGCTACTCAATCATCAGCCGGCTGTGGCGTATAGTTTCCCGCAACTCGTGATACCCACTGACACCTTCTCCGACTGGGCCTTTTCTCCGCTCAGTGGTGTCGCTGGAATTAGCTAACCCGGAACAGGGGTCAGTAGCAGACAGCGGCACGGCGCTGAGAAGGGGCGTCGTCGTCAACCGCTACTGATGTCTTTAATGTGGGAAGCGAGCAATAGAACTATGCCAGCGTCGAAGAAGCCAGGGCACACTGAGGACGGTGTCAACCTGTGCCTCTCACTCGCCATAAGTGTAGCTTTTTCCTCAACTCGCCGTGAGTTCCGCACATAGGCTCGGAAAGTCAGGAGTCCAGCGATACAGAGCGGGGCCGAGGGCCGAGCACAAGGGGCGACGCTGGCGACGCTGAGAACGTCTGAGCCGTGCAGCCGTCTCATACGGCACTTCCTGGGCTGTGCTGACCCCCCTCTCCTCTGTGCCACCCTTCCCCACTGGACCCTCATTGCTCATCACAGCATACCTTCGTCTCTGCCCGTTTGGCTCCTGCGGCTTTCATTGAAAGTGCCGTGCCGCCCATATCTCTTGAGCACCGAACAACCTCCGTTTCGAGCCCGCCCTGGCCACGGTTAGTCGATCATCTTGCCTCTGCTACTCCACAGCCTCGAAGTCGAGCCATGCGAATCAGACTATAATGTAAAGATACATCCTAGGGTATACGATCTATGCCCCGTTCAAGGCGGGTACTTTTCTAAAAATCACTACTGCACTGCAAACAACGGGACACTCGGGCCCGCGGCCCTCGTGTTCGCTTAACCGAGGAAGTTGTAGCAGAACAGGTGCAGCGTAACAGACGCGAAGCAGAAGTCCGCAAAGGCGCTGTATGTCAGCTTTGTCCGATGGATTTCGACAGCTGTAACTGCTGCAAGCTGCAAGGGTAGGCTGGCACTCCGCGTGCCGGGCCTTCAGCAGCACTCCGCGGGAAGCTCACGCCATCCATGGCGGAAGAAGACGCAACGACGCAGCGGCGCAGCGTAAAGCTCACGCCGTCTTGGCCGAAGAAGACGCAGCCATTCACGGAAAACCCACGACCTCCGTTCTGCGCACTACAAGCCGATATACACTCACCGCTCCTGGTTCACCTCCTTGAACTCCTCGTCGCGGCCGGGGGAGACCTGCGCGCGCAGCGCCGCCAGGAGACAGAACTGTCCGACGGTGGATCCGAATCTGATTGTCAGCTCATCTGGGCGCACGGAAGCTGGTTGCACGCGGTAGTCTGCTGGTTGCTGACAACTGTGCGCTGTGCCACTAGTTGCCGGGCGGGCCGTGGAGCTTGCGGCTTTGCACGGGCAGACGTTGAAGCCGACACTTGTGCGGGAGTTGCGCGCAGCAGCCCCCGATCCATGTTCGGCTCAGACGTTCAGACCTCGGCCTGCTGGTTATGCCATGCTCGGCCCAGTCTCGGCCAGTGGGGCATTTCGTGCTTGGCTCAGTCTTCGGCCTGTCGGGCATGTAATGATCGGCCCGGCCCTTGGCCTGTTGGACATGGCAGCGGGCACGGAAACACTCACCCTCCAACGAACGCGTTGAACGGATGGCTCGTAACCACCAAGCGGTAGGCAAAGATCGTGACGCCGGTGACGATGAAGAAGAGCAGGAACGAGTCGATGAGCTTGACGCGCGCGGGCACCGTGGTCTTGTAGTTGTGCACGAGGGTCGAGATCGAGCCGCTGATCTGCTGCTGTGATGGCACAGCGGGAGTGGACTTTGATCCGGCCATGGCGTGTAGCTCTAACGGGGCTCGGCGGAATGCAGGCGGCGGCTTCGGTTCGTCAGAGCGCGGCGCGGCGAGTTTTGACGAGGAGGCGGAGAGGGTGGTGGGAGAGGGTTAAGGAGCGTGAAGTGAGGTGTTGTTGTCGTGGCTGGTGACGTCCGCAGCCTCGAAATAGCAGGTTCAGTGGTAGTGGTGACGCGGAACGTGTCCGGGTTGTTAAGTGGGTGGATGAAGTAAGCTTAATATCTGGGTGATTAGGAACGAGCGGCAAGGACGGAGGGATTCCGATTTCTGGCGGCGGGAGGTCCTTGAGAGATGGATTGATGGCCGAGACGTGTGTTTGAGAGTTGACACTCTATACCCAGCACAGCCAGCACCATGAACCAGGGCCCGACACAGCAGCAGGTCAACAACAGCTACTACCCCGGTCTCGTACGTACAAACCTGCCGATCCCCCCCACACCGTTTCCCCTGCTTCCAATCACCCGGCTATGGGACCTTCCTTTTGTGCCTTCCTCGGCTCCCACTGTGCGATTGACTGACGACAGAACGAGTCCGAGGCGCTCAAGCGTGCCCGCCGTCCTTACCAGATGCGCAACCTCCTCACCGGCGGTGCTGTCGTTGCGTTCATCCTCGGCGTTTACGCGTACTCGATCTCGGCTGTCAAGCAGGACGACTTCGTGAGTTGCGCCCCTCGCTCCTTCCTCTCTCATGCCTTCCTCCCCGCCTTCCTCGCCTTCCCTCTGTGCCTTCCTTTCTGTCTTCCTCCTTGCCTTCCTCGCATCTCGCCGGCGGCTTGCACGTGGCATGCTGCTAGCTTGGTCTGAGGGCCGCTGCTCTCCGCCATATCGCTAGCCATGAACCTCTCGGATGACAAGCTGACAATCAGTCTGACGTCGTCGACCTTCTCCCGCCCGCCGAGGAGCGTGCCCTCGTCAAGACGATCGAGGACGAGCAGCGCGAGGCCGAGGCCGCTCGTCTTGGCTCCACGTCCACCTCTTCCACTCCCTCTTCTACCTCCGCTTCCTCTTCCAGCTCGTCTCCGTCTTCGGCTTCGGGCAAGTCGGGCGTCGCCTCGCTCCTCCCCCGCCGCCTCAGCGACATCGAGTGGGTGCGCCAGCGCGGACTCGTCGAGCCTGGACGTGACAACGTGCTTGTCTGGGGAGCGCCGAGCGTCGACAATATCGGAAACATGAGGCAGAACCCGGGCACGACGCCCGGCTCCAAGCCCCTCTAAGCGACGATGTCCGCGCGCGCCGATCTAACCCTTATCCGCATAGCATATCTGTAAAAATGTACATGGCATGACACTGCTCTTGACCCCTCGTTACCTCTTTCTCTACAACCCGATGAGAGGTCTAGACAGCGGGCTGTTTGTCAGTTATGCCTGTATCAGAGTTAACTCACGCGAAGAGCCCTGAGACGCTCAGCAAGCCTTCCGTCCTCCTCGAGCGGCGCCTCGGCGACAGGCGTAGCGGGGGCTGCGATCTGCTCCGTGGGCACCTTGGCCTCGCCGAGTCCATGCTGGATCTCGAGGCCGGCCTCGTCCGCGACCTGCTGCATGAGACCATCGACCTGGTCCTGCGGCGTCGTGAGCGCGGTCGTGTCGCTCATCGTGCTCTCCATGTACGATGTCTGGACGTCGAGGTCGTTGAACTGTGCCTCGAACTTGTCCATAACCATGGATATCTGCATGTTAGCTAGACCGCCGTGGGGTTCAAAAAGCTATCGCGCGCGTCCATGAAAGCGCAGCTCGCTACGCTCGCTCCACGGCCCACTCACCCGCTCCAGGTTCATGCTCTCCATCGCCTTGTCCATGCCCTTGACGACAGACCCCATCGAGTTGGTCACGGTGCGCATCGTGACGGCCGTCTCGACACGGCTCGCGACCGCATCAATGCGCGAGGCGAGACGGAGGAGGTTGAGTGCCTCTGTCTTCTTGCGGATGGCGTTCTGGGCGTAGATGCGCGCCCCCTCCGTGTTTCCCTTCTGGAGCGCAGCCTTGAGCTTGTTCTTCTCGGCGGTCTCGTCCTTGTTCGCCTTCTTCGCCTGTCGGTTCAGCGACTTGGCCGTGAACTGTGCGTTAGCTGGCGCGAGGACGAACTTGGCAGCGCGGGACACACCTTGAGCTGGAAAAGAGCCTCTGCACATGTTAGCTAACGTCAATCCCGGTGCAGCTCACTCTCTAGGTTGCTCATGGTTGATGTTGTGTCGATGCGGCGATGGCAGATGGCCAGATGGACCTGAAGGACGCCTAAAGTCGGTGGCGTGCGGTGGCTCGGGTCGCCCATGGCCGCACAAGCGTAGCTGTACGGTGCAGCGTCATACATGACCGGTCAATTTGCTTCCGTGCCAGCATTAGCCGCACTCCTGGGTGACGAGATGACTTCTGACCGGGAACGACAGCGCGACCAACGCGTCCTCTGCACTAAGCACCACTCTCATCACTGCATACCGATTCGCGACCGCCGACAGCGACGCAAACACCAAAAGACAGCGCAGAATCCTGCAGTTCGACACCCCCGAACTCCCCTGTCACCACTCCGACCACGTAGCGACCCCAGGCCGCGACACAGGTCATGCTCCTCCACCTCCTCAGCTATGTTGGGGCGATCACCGCATTCCTCTTCGTGACTCTGTCACTAGGTAAGCTTGTTGACTGTTTTCCTAGCTGACTCCAGCGAGTGGACTGCTCTGGGTCGCCGAGCTGATCGAGGAGCACTCGCGTGCTGCCCGCATCATCGGCCGACGGGCGATTTACGTGAGCCTTTCACTGACTTCCCTTCGCTGACCTTCCCAGACGATTATCGTCCTGCACGTACTGCTGTTTTTCACTGACCGGCTGCCGTTCTGGCACATCGTATTCGGCATCTTCTGCCAGATCGTGTACCTGCAGCACTTCAGCTCCTCATGGCCCTACATCTCGCTGACCGGCGCGACCTTCCTCCTCTCATGTGCGCTCGTCGTCGCGGACCACTTCATGTGGTTCTTCCACTTCGCCGCGGTTGCGCAGGAGGCGAAGCGTTCCCGCGCCGCTCGGTATCGCTACCACGCTCATCCCGTCAAGGAGGCGCCAACCTTCATGGAGGTTGCGTCCTTCTTTGCCATCTGCGTCTGGTTCGTGCCGCTCTTCCTCTTCCTGAGTCTGAGCGCGAACGACAACGTGATCCCCAGCCACTTTGGTAAGCCATCTCCATTTCTTCATTTCTCCAGGGCTGACAGAACTAGGGACACCAACACCAACGCCGCCCGTGCCTGTCGAGGGAGGTCACGCTGCGCCGCGCAGGTCGCGACCAGGCGCGTCGCTCGTTAAGAGCGCGCTCGCGCCTGTCATGGGTCTGATCCCCCGCATCGGCCGGAGAAGGGACACGGAGGGTCTCATCGCGCCGCGCACGCCGGGGCTCAGCCCCGTCCCCTCGTCCGTGAGCCTGAACGGCAACTACGTCCCGTGGGGCGGGGAGAGCTCGCCGAGTTCTCCACAGGCCTTCTCGCCGATGGCGAGCTACTCTGGATTGCCCGGAGCGGGAGGGAGTGGGTTCTCGACGCCGCCGCCGCCGAAACGGCGCGTGTCCCAGAGCTCGGTCAATAGCGAGATCGAGCTGAGCGGGATGGACACGGGCATCGCGACGGGCAAGGACAAGCCCGTCCGCCGCGCGGCACGCAGCAGGGTGCAGAGCCGCGCCGGCAGTCCCGAACCATAGTCTGTATTCTGGTGGACATTATGCACACGTACATGCCTAGCGTCAGTGGAAAGAAGGACGGACGCACCGCACAGGTGCCCGATCTGGGCGAAGGCGATCGGCGTGCCACCGTTGCCACCGCAGTTTGCTCCCGCGCGTCCATCATCCGTCATGCGAGACGTGTGTTCCAACCTCCACCCTGGTTCAGCACTTGGTCATTTCAACTCATCCCACCCCCATCATCCACAATGTCGGCCGCCATGGACGTCGACTCTGAGCGAAAGCCCCGCTTCGAGGTGAAGAAGGTGAGTCACTAGCTCCAGTGTCTTCGATCTAGTCTCTCGCGAGAGCCGGGAAGGTCAGACGCCGGCGTAAGGAGTCTACAAGTGACGTCGACATGTGCCCTTTCGTCTACCTTCCTTGTCGCAGGATCGCCGCTGCAGCTGTCTAACGTGCACATATGAAAGCTGACAACCACAGTGGAACGCAGTCGCCCTCTGGGCGTGGGGTGAGCTTGTAAGCTTCCAGTAAGGCTGACAGCAGACATTGTCGTCGACAACTGCGCCATCTGCAGGAACCACATCATGGACCTGTGTGAGTACGACGGGGAAGGGGCGCGCGTCAGATCGGTCCTTGGATCTTCAGGCGACCTGTTCATCAACCGCACACCGAACGCGACCTTTCCTCTCCGCTAGTCCACGGCGAGTTAGCTGACACCCAGGCATCGAGTGCCAGGCGAACCAGGGCGGCGAGTCGGAGGGCTGCACCGTCGCATGGGGTATCTGCAACGTAAGCTGACGGTTGGTGCATTAGCTGACGAACAGCACGCGTTCCACTTCCACTGTATCTCGCGCTGGCTCAAGACCCGTCAAGGTGAGTCGTTGATGCTCGCTGCGGCAATAGCTGAAACGGCCCCATGATCTGTAAGCTGACTCCCAGTGTGCCCCCTCGACAATCGCCAGTGGGAGCTGCAGAAGTATGGCCGGTAGAATGGATCGTGTACAACTACAACTTTACAAGACAAGACCCGCTTCGATGTATATGTGTTTCGCTTTTCACGGCAGCCTAGCGCTTGACACTGCCTGCCTTAACTGCTGATCGCGCCTGTCCACGAGAGTTCATATCATGTCCGAGAGGAATGATGACTAATGCCAATGGATGTGCATGCTCTAAATCTAAAGTGTCTAACTCCTCTATTGCGTCTTGGGCACCTCGACCGAAGTCTCCATGACCTTCATCGGATCCGCGCGACTTTGGGCCCACTCCCCTCTATCGAACCTTCCCTCCTCAGCCTCAACTCTTTCTCCCAACCGCGTCAGTTCCTCCTGCAACCTAGCCGTGATCGCAATCCTAGCGTCGCGCGTAGCCTCATCCTCGCGTTCCGAGTACGGCCAGTCGCCGTAACCCTTGCCCATTTGCGCCGAGTTGGCTATCGTCTGTGGACCGGGGACCTCCTTCAGTGCTGGGTGGAGGGGGGCTACCTGGTCGAGTTCTGAGCAGGTCTGGCGGTAGGACTGCACCAGTGGCGAGATGAGGGGCGAGATGGACTGCCCGATGGTGATGGAGACGTTGGCGCCAGGCCGGGGCAGGAAGCGGGGGAAGCCGCGGCGTTCGTCCATGATCTGGTCGAAGCCTGCACACATTAGCCTTGGCCCCATAGATCCATAGAGACATCAGAAAGGGGGGGAAGAGGGGGCTCGCTGCGCTCGCTGCGCTCGCCTTTGGGAACTCACCACTAATCCATATCGGGATAATCTCCGGCATCTCCTCCGCATCCATGACGATCCGGCCCACTCCCCACTTGAACCTCCGCATGCCGCCTGCGGGATTGTTCTTCTCCTGATTCACACGTCCCTCCGGGTATATGTTGACCCAGCCGCCGTGCTTGAGCCGGTCGATCGCCGTATCCACTGCGTCCTGGTAGATACCGCCGCCGCGGACTGTCTCGATCACCTGGCCGAGGGAGAAGAAACGCCCCATCGGGGCGGACGTGAACATGATGTCGCTTGCTGCATTGGTTAGCGGGGCACTAACGGTGGGGTTAGGGGGGAGACGTACCGCCCAATGTCCATCTGTTGTTGTGACAGGTGTATGCTGGTCGCGCGAAGGGCGCATACACGCTCGCAGGGAGAACGGCCCAGGTCATGGGATCGTCGACGACAGAGTTATGGTTGCAGACTGGGGGCGTCAGTTGAGTTGTCTCTCCCCACCCTAAGTTCACGGAGGACTCACTGGTCAGAACACCTCTTCGCTTGCCCTTCTCGGCGGGTCCTTCCTTTGTCGTCCGGTCCTTGCCTAGCTTGAGCGCTTTGTAGAGGTGTTCTTTGCCCTCGACGCGGAACTGGCGCGTCGTCAGGGACATGAAGCCCTTGCACCACAGCCCGACGACGGACATGGTCAGCGCCGACGCGAGCGAGGACGGTGGTGGGGCCATGGTGACGACTTCTACAGAGGTTGATACCAAGTGACGAGCGTGGTGACCAGCAATCGACGATCGAAAGCGAGGGAAAAGGGAGCGCGGGGCGATTGCCGAGAAGCGTCGAGCGTGCTAGGCGTGCCGGGGATGCCGATGTGCGAGCGCGATGCCGGACAGGGATGCGCTGCACTCGACCTGCCGAGCGGTGTCGAGAACCGAAGAGTTGTAAGAGATATGGACGAAAGTGATCGACGAACCGCCGCACGCTCCCGACTTTTTTCTGTTGACATGACGTCCGACGCGCGGCAGCGGCGGACCGGACATGTGCCAGTTGGCCCGATACCCGAGATTGGGGGGGGGGGGGGGGCTTGATTAGAATGATTACCCGTGCCTGACTTGCAACTTGTTTCTATTTCTCTTGGCAAAGCCTCGATCACGGCTGCCGATTGCAAGATTATGAGATGCATAGAGGGATGTTGATAGGTGATGGCCCAGCTCACGCACAGTTCCCCGTCTCCGCGACGAGACACCAGAACTCGTGCGGCGTGCCGTGGTTGATCCAAGCGACCTTGCCCTTGGACACGAAACCATATCGCGCATAAAAGTCAACCTGCCGTCAGCCAAGGTCAACTCCCCTACTCACATTCTCCTGGATGTGGGTGTGCAGTCGGACGTTCTCGCCCGCCTCCGTGCCTCTTTGGAGCGCGTATCGCGTCATGGCACCACCGTACCCCTTCCCCTGGAATGCCGGGTCGACACCCAGCCAGGAAACATGGTAGCACTCGTCCGGGTAGTAGTCTCTCGTGAGGCCGGCCGTCGTGTCCCAGAGCTTCCAGTCAGCGCGATCCCCCCGTCATACATACCGTCTTCATACGCTCCTTCGCGATGTCCGGCATGTTCTCAAGCTCGGCGTCGTACGGTGTCGGCTCGCTCGATCTGATGTCAGCTCGGCAGTCCACCCTCACTTACTTCGGCATTTTCTTTTTAAGAATGAAGAGCGCCGCAACGTCACGATCTCCGATCGCTCCTTCCTCCGCCGGTCCATCGCCCTCCAGAATGGTCCAAACCTCATGATCCGGATTAACGAGCGAGCGGTACGCAACCTGCTTCATCTGGAGGAGGTGCCAATGCTCCGCTTCGTCCTTCGGCAGGCCCTCGAAGAGCGCCGAGGAGGGATAAAACGTGTCCAGGGCAAAGGAGCGAACATAGCTGCGCGCAAGAGCGTCGACGGTCTCTGGGCTAGAGTCCGTGATCTGCGTGAGGGCGGGGAGTGGCGCGTCATGATGCTTGGGGAGAATGTAACGACTGACGAAAGCAAAAGTCAACTTTCGGGAGTCGTAGTGCGCGTAGTGGGCAGTGGGATGGTGATGCTGTGGTGCCCCACACGGAGATGAACGAAAGTCGAGTCAGCCATTCAGAGTCGTGTCATGGGCGCGAAGGCGTTGGTATACGCACGTCCAGCCGGCATCGCCGCCCGAGATGGAAGCGTATGAAGCGTATAGGCGAGATGAGCGAGTGGTATAAGGAACATCCGCAAGTAGACGGACCGCTCTGATTTTCACTAGCTTTGTTTCGAAGGAACTCTCACACCAAGGCTATCAGCATTGCTGTGAAGACAAGGGCAACGTGAGGCTCAAGCCAGTGATACGCTTGGTGACGGTTCAGTCCAGGGGTGCCGACAACGGTGCCGACAACTGGTGAGCGGTTGGGCATCGGCTTCTCGAACGGAAGGAGAGAAGCACAATGAAGGGTGTGTCTGGACAGCCCGCAAGGCAGAAACTGTATGGGCTCGGCACCTACTCCGGCTTCGAATGCGTTAGCTGGGTCGCAAAGCCAGTGACACTGGCAAGGTTGGCTGTGATCTCGTCAGTGACGATATCTGTGCCGTAACCGACATCAAGCAATTGTCGACAGCCGCTGTAGGCAAGTCTGGATTGGTGTCTGCGTGGCTGAGGAAGAGATGCGAGGGCTGCCATGGGAGACTTGGGGTGCGGGTGTGTGTCGTGATACAGGGAAAGAAGGTCGAGAGGCGAGACCGGGAGCGAGAGGGAGTTGCTTCTAGGCTCTAATCTCCATGGCGGTTCACACGTCTGTTTCCGCATCTCGGCTCATCGTGCAGTGGGTCTCGGCGGAAGCGAGCAGTGCCGTACACGTTCCCCGCTCTTCGCTTCACTCCGGGCCGCCAGAGAGTGCCGCTCACGTCTCTGGATAACAGTCCACAACGCTCAGCTGACTGTCGACTCTCGTGTTGGGCTCCCAGAGATGTGGCATACTGTAATCTCACAATTAATATAGATATACAACATCAGGACGTGTACAGATGATCAGCCCTGTCACACGCCTTCCGTGGGTGGTGACCGCGGTTCCGCGCTTTCCGCACCCTATGCGACGAAGGAGGTCATCATATCGCGTCTTCGTGGCCGTGACTGGTGGCGGGGTACCCCGGCAGGTGTGAATCTCGCTGTCGTTATGGAGATTCGGGAGGCAGAACGCCAACAACCCGCAGCTCAGCGGGGACTCTGCTCAAAGAGCCAGAGCGGGGCTGATGTGTGCAGCGGTGTCATGAGCGGTGGGGTCCTCGTTGCTGCCACAGAAGCTGGAGCCAAGTCCAGAGTCGTCGGGAGTGATGGCTACGCGGCCAATGTCTGCGAGGAAGCGTGGGCTGAATTTGCGCATTTCCGTTCCATGCCTCTTGCGGTCGGGGCCGTAAACGACGCACGAGTGTTGTGGGTGAAGTCCTTCACGTCAGCGACATTATAAACCCGCCACTCACCAGGATATAGATGAAGTCCGCCGGGCAGAGGGATCTGTCCGCCGTCACGTCGTACACCACCATGACGCTGCCGCTAGCGAGCGAGGCGAGGAGGTTGATGGGGTGACGGGCATCAGAGGCGGTGTGCGTCCTGTTGTCAGCTGCCACTCTGGTGGCGACTCGAGACGTGCCACTTACCACATGGTTTGCTCGAGCGTGCACAGATCTTCTTAACATCGCCGTTTGTCAAGCTGCTAAGAAACCCAAAGGGCTGGAGGCCAAAATGGCTTGGTCGGGTGTTCTCGAGGCTGATCCCCCTCACGTTAGGCTGGCTGAGAATCTGCAGTGGCGAGGAGGGATGGGGTGTGTGGGCATTTCTTTCCTCCATATTCTCATTGGCACTCTCGCCAGAAGAGGACTGGGATACCTCGTGGCGGTGGTTCCGCACCCACCGGCGGACGTACTCAGGCTTGGGTTCGACTATGAGCTCATCGCGAGCTCCAATGCCGAGGTCACCACATGTCCCAGTCACAGAGAAGGGTAGGACAAACGCCAGCACTCCCGGCACCGGAGTGGCGATCTCGTTCCGGAGCACGGAGCGGGCAGCGGACTGACCTTCGAGCAGTGCGTCCTCCAGGACATCCCTGCCCCGGGTCAAATATGGAAGATCGTCTGAGGATTGTTGCTGCTTGTGGTCGAGAACCATCAAGGACGGGCAGGGGCGAGTGTGGCTGAGACCTGGTGAGGCGCTGGTAATTGCAATGTCGACACTATTGAAGGGGGCCGGCGGATGTCGAAATCAACCTTGCGATTAGGGTGTCTACATGTACGTCGACCTTGGGTCGAGAGATGGAGTCATGACGAACGTTGAGGTCTGGCGCAGAACGTGGGAAGCTTTTGGGGAGCGAAGAGAGTGGTTAAGCGAAGATGTCATCGCAACCAATCAAGGTATGCCAAGTTGTCCCGAGTAGTGACAGGAGAAGAGGAACGCATTATTTGGCCACTTGCATTCTTGAGCCACATCCGTACGCAGGTTCAGCGAGGCGATCGTTGGTGTTTCGAAGGGGCTGGGCAAAGGCGAAATGTCATGAAGGGAGAAAAGGGAGACAGAATGCTCGAGTCCTATAGTGGATCCTCCTGCCCTTCACCGAGAGACTCACTGCTGACCGGGCCGTCAGCCCGGCGGCCCACGACAGTGACGGTCGGGTGCTCTGGCGCCCTGACTCTTCAAGCCCCTCTTGCAAGGACGGTTGGATAGTCTTGATATCGTCAACTCGGCAAGCAGGGGATGGTGACTGCCTATGCATACCGCTCTGCATTTTGGGAAAGAACGCAGAGCCGTCACGATGCATGATTTGCAGTGGATGACGGGTTGGACTCGACTCTTAGGATTCCCGCTCACAAGTGAGGGGATGTTAGGCTGGCGTGCCCAGCGAGCCTCTGGGTGCCACTCCCTTCGACGTGCCTTGGGCGTGATCGAGGAACAGCACGCCTACTGTCAATTTCAGAATGATCACTACACCCTGACATTTCTTAATCGACCCCAATGTTAAGATTAGACACTACACGCCCGCTGTGACCCGTGACAGAACGCTACACTGATTAGAATTTTCTAATCAGATTAGAAAATCGCTGATTAGAAATTTGTTTGGGAGGTAGATACACCCCCTCTGTGACCCGTGACATAGGACTACAGCAGGGCTGTGACCCGTGACAGGGTGTAGTGATCATACTGAATTTTACAGTACTGCCACTGTGGGGCCAAACGGCCAGCCCGTCCACCTGATGTCATTCCATCGCCGCCGACCTCCACACCCCGTACACCCGTGACCTCCACCTCGCTTTCTTATCTCTTGCTCCGTCTTCCCCTGCGTGCTCACTCAGCAACACACACAGCACCGCGTCAAATGCTCTCCGCCCGCCTCCTCAAGCACCTTCTTCCGAAGCGCTGGGCGAGCACCATGGCAATCGAGACTGACAAGCTCAACGGTATAATTCTCACCTGACGTCGTTTCTCATCGCTGATATCAGTCCTCCACGGCCCCTTGCAGCCGCTCACGCGCCCGGGCGACCGCGAACATCCCACCGGCTTCTTCCGCGATGGCTACTGCTGGGGCAGCGACGAGGACCCGGGGCAGCACTACGTCGGAGGTGTCGTTACCAAGGAATTCCTCGAGTTCAGCAAGTCGAGAGGTAAGTAGAGGCTAGCGAGGAAGGCTTATACGGCGATGGGCAGAGCGTGTGCAGTAGGCGGTGTACTCGATGCGGATTGCAGCGAGTAGTGAGATTCCGAAGCCCTCCGCCATACTGTCGATGAGCGGCTCGCAGCCTCCTCGGCGCGCGGTGATCGGCTCTGCTCAAGGCGGCCTTCCTCGGTGCAGCTGCGCACCCGAGCAGCCAGTACAGGTGCCGGGGTATTTGCGAGCCGACACACGGATCTGATGCTGAAACTCAGGCAACGACCTCTCCTCGCGCCGCCCCGGCTTCCCCGGGCTGACAGAGGGGTGTCGCTGGTGTCTCTGTGTTGAGCGGTGAGTACCGAGGGGGCTGCATCTCACCCATGACAGCGGCGACTGACTGCCGGTCGGGTGCATGCTTGTCACGACAGCGAAGCTCTTGTGCTCTTGTTCATGAGCTAACGCCCAGCTGGAAGGAAGCCATGATGGCAAGCGAGCGACTCGGCGACGCCGTCGTGCCCCGGTAAGTCTTTCTCCGCAACCCGCACAGCTAGAACTCTGGTGTGGAAGCTGACACGCCAGCGTCGACCTAGCCGCCACCGCCATGGACACGCTCAAGACGGTGACGATGGCGGACCTGCTGAGGTTCCAGTGGCGTCCCTCCATCAGCACGGGTGAGGGGATGGTGAGTCCCCCGCCAGACGCGGGGGCGGGCACGGGGCCGTCGCGACGCTCCTGATATGACGCTATTTGCATTGCCCCCTTGTTGTTTTGATTCGAATGTACACCAGATTATTCGCCAAGTCAGTCCGAATGATGCATCACTGACTTACTGACACGGCGATATCTTGTGGGTGCCGTGCATCTGCGTCCACATGTAAGGAAGGGCAGGTTGCACGTCGGAGCAAGTCCAGGAATCGGTTGCACCGGGTGTCCTGGTGCCTTGCCTTCGAACTCGAACAGCTGTTCGAGCAAGCGTACCTCGAAATTATACCCACAATACATGCTGATACACCAGTTGGTTCTTGTCTTACGCCGAGCCAAGGCTCGGCCAAACTGTATGCTACTATCCTAAATCCAATATGAGTCCTGGGGTGGTTCGCTTCTTCTTTCTTCTGCTCGCGTATCGGTGTCGTGGTGGTCGTCCCACTGGGTTGACCGGTGTCGCGGCTGGACTCGGTTCCCGAAGCCGTAGGGTAGGGGTTGATGACGGGCCGGGGCTGCAGTTGGCGTGCACTTGCGCTGGGGCCAAGAAGGGGGAGGGGTGGTGTTCGAGATTCGGCGATGCGAGGGCGGGCTTATTGCTGCTGCGCATACTGCTGTCGGTTCAGCATGGCCATCTGCTGCATCTGCTGCTGCTGGAGCATCTGCTGCTGGTGCTGTTGCTGGAGCATCTGCTGTTGCTGCTGTTGCTGGAGCAGCTGCTGCTGCTGTTGCTGCTGCTGCGCCATCTGCTGGTGCTGCAGCATCTGCTTCTGCTGCATTTGCTGTTGCTGTTGTTGCGGCGACATCCCGCCGACGCCGCCGACGCCGCCCATGCCCATTTGTCCCGACATCTGGTTCGACATCATGGGCACGCCCATCATGCCCATTGCGCCTTGGCCCATCATCTGGCCCTGCCCCTGCATGCCCTGCATGCCGCCTTGCATGCCGGGTTGCATCTGCATACCCGGCTGCATGAGCTGCTGCTGCTGCTGGGCTGGGGAGATCTGGCCCTGCTGCGGCTGAGGCGACACGGCCGGGTTGCCCATCATCGGCATGCCCATGTTCATCCCCGGCGACATCTGCATCATGCCCTGCTGCATGCCCTGGGTCTGCATGCCTTGCTGCATGCCCTGCTGGCCCTGCTGTCCCATGCCCTGCACGCCTATGCCCATGCCCTGGCCTTGCATGTTCTGGCCCTGCATGCCCATCTGCGGCTGCATCATGCCGCTGGGCCCGCCGGGCGTCATGCTGCCGTGGCTGCCGGGCGTCATGGCGCCAGGCGTCATGCCCGGCGGCGTCATCTGCTGCTGCGGTATCGGCATGCCCAGCATCGCGGCCTGCACTTGCGGGCTCACCTGCTGCGGCATCATACGCATCTGCACCGGGCTGCCGTAGCCGGGCATGTACGACTGGCGAAGGTTGGACGGTCCCGGCCCCATGCGCTGGTACATTGGCGACTGCATCGGCTGCTGCTGCATCGGCGCCTGCATCGGTGAGCCGGGGCCGACGGGCGTCTGCGGCATCGGCGACTGGACGGGGCCGCCCAAGCTCGCGTTCTGCGCGCCAGGCGTCATGGGCGTGCGCGGGTAGTTCGGAGCTTGCGGGCGGTACGAGGGCGAGCCGGCCGCGCCGCCCTGGTACGGCATGCGCATCTGGCCCATGTGCTGCTGCCCGCCTTGCGGGGGGGACATGGCCGGCACGCTGCCGTACGCCGGCCGCTGCTGCTGCGGGTAGTACCGGGGCGTGTTGGGCATTGTGTGCGGTGGCGGTTCCCGCATCTGCGGCTGGCCGTACGGCTGCTGCGCCTTTGGTGGCGGGGCATGCGGGCTCGGTGCGACTCCATTGAGGCCGAGCGCCGAGGGCGCCTGCGTGTTGATCTGCGCCGCTGCCTGGGCCCTAAGCCGGATGGTCGAGTTGTCGTGAAGCGCACGAGGACGGGCAGGGTCGAGCGTGCCTCGGATGATCGGCGCCCGGTTCGCAAGCAAGCGTTTCGCGAGGGTGTGGGCCATTCCAGGCTTGGCGTCGACCAGGGCAGACGGTGGTGTGTCGGAGGTTTCAACGAGCTTGGCGAGCGACGCAAACAACTCGTCCGCGACGGCCTGCTCGCGGTCGCTGACCCAGGTGGCGTCACCTTTCCGGACACGCAGCTCCTGCCACTCTTGCAGCTCCTCGATGCGCTCGGCGTTCGCGGCCAGAACGTCGTCGACAGACTCCTCGACCTTGACCTCGGCCTCGTCCTCGCCCTCGAGCTTGTCGCCGGGCTTCTCGGGCTTCTTCGCGAGAACACCCTTCCAGCCCTCCTCGGGGACGTTGTGTACCGTTGACTCCTTCAGGTACTTGCGTTCCCGGGCAGATTCGTGCATGGCGTCCAGAGTAGAGTCGTAGCCCATGCCCGCGGCAGAGCTGGAGTCGTACGTCGGCGCAAAACTCGGGGTGAATGCACCAGTCGACACACGAGGGACAGACACCGGGTGCAGCGTCGTGTCGAAAGAACCTGTCCGGCGCGCCTTCAGAATGTCCTTCCACCGCTGCGCCTTCAGACTCGCTCTCCGGATCACGACCTCAGAGAGCTTGGGCACGTCCTTCTCGTCCGGCTCGCCGAGGACGCCACTCGTCTGGACGGCGACGGGCTTGGCGTATCCAAACTTCTGGCCCGTTTCCGCAAACGTCTCCAGCAGTGTCTTGCCTGGTTCGAGCTTGACCTTCTTTTTCGCGGCCTCGACTTCGCGCAGGTCGACGCTCGCCGTGAACCACTCGCCGGACAGGGTACCCACGCCGTTTCCGGGCGTCTTCTGCATGAGGGCCCAGCGCTCTTGCGTCTGCGTAAAGTCAAGCGGGGATGATCCGTCGTCCAGAGGCTCGACCTGTAGCAGAATCTGATGGAGAGCGGTGCAGAATGAGTACAGTGTCATCGGCGGGAAGTGGGCCGGGAGAGGCGGCACCGGGAGGTGGATCCGCGACAGTGACGGCACCGGGTTCGGGTAGGATGACGGCGCGAGCAGATGCTCCGTGAAGAGGTGGATGGTGGACTGAGGTCAGCAACGCGTCCCGGATTAGTCAGAAGCAAAACACCCACCACCAGGTTCTCCCATGTCAGCGTGTCCTGCTTCAGCATGTAGCCCAGCGTGTTCTCGTCTGACCGCGAGAAGTCGGGCGGTAGTGACAGCGAGAGCAGGTTGTTGATGGGAGGCGGTAGACTCTTGGCCATTCTGTTTGTCAGCTTTGTACAGACACATGGTCAGCATGAAGGACTCACTGAGCAATAACGACGGCAATCGCCTCGCGCACGTCCATGGACAGCGGTCGTCCTGGTCCATCATCCTCCGTCTTGACGTCGTTACCGTTCGAAGCATCGCCTGCTCCGTTCGGGTTTGCCATCCGTGCTCGTTTCGTGTCGTGGTTGTCACCGCCGTTTGCCTCTTGCAAGGCGGCGGCATCAGCGCTCATGCGCTTTCGTTTCGTGCTCGAGTCGGGTTGGGCTGCATCAGGTTAGCGACATGCAAACATTGGGCGCCAGTGTAGGTTGAGGAGGATGGAGGTCTGCACGTACGTGTTGTGGGTGACTCGGCAGCACGCGCCGAACCCCTGGTCTCTCTGGCCATGGGGTGGAGAGGAGGAGGGAAGCGGGAAGGGACAATGCAAGGATGTTGGTTGGTGGTGGTGGTGTGGGCCGAGTAATTTGATGGACGGGGCCCTTTGTCGCACAGTGACTACCGGCGGTTGATGATGGATGTTGGACGCGTCGTCCCTGGTCCGATTGCTATGTCGGATGTCGGGGCGCGTCAATGTCGAGGGAAGATAAATCAACAAGGCGGCGGTCGGTTGCCTGGATGGAGGCGGGGCACGGGACGGGAGAAGGGCAGGGGAGGAGGCGGCGTTCTCTGGCGTGTGGAGTAGTGCGGCGGATCAGAGCCGTTGATGCGAGGGGGAGGGGGATGGGGATGGATGTGTGTGGTGGTGGTGGATTGCAAGTGGTGCTAAGGTTCAACTTGGCTGAAAGCAAGCGTTGGATGTTGATGGTGCACGCCGAGGGTGAGGGTACGGAGGGTACGAGGTTCGAGGGTGGATGCTTAGGAGCACGACGGCGGAGTCCAAGGCGTAGGGCGTGGGACACTCATCCAGCGTATCACCGTACAGTCCACCATCGAGACCCGCCCTCAAAGAAGGAACCACCCACCCTCGGCCTGCCCGCCTTCGCGTGGCTTCACTGGCTGGATTTGCTCCCGCTCAGACGCGTTTGCGGAAGTAAACAACCCGAAGCCAGCCAGCCAGCCCTTCCATACTCATTACTGATCGACCACCCACAGCGTGCACAGCGCCGAACCTGTGTCCGCGACAGAGGACGCTACATATGCATCTTCCTTACACGATATAGAGTCACAGCTTGTACAACTCCTCCTACCTCTATGGTATATCTACTCTACTCTCCGCACTCACGAAGGGTGTAATGTATGCCTTCACTAAAAATGAATGATGTCCGATGTCGCCAACTAATGTTCCTTCCTCCGCCTTCCCTCAACTACTCGAACGGGTTTGTCCGTCCTGCCTGGTTGCTGCTTCGGTTCCCGTGTCCTCCGTCCAGGTCGTTGCCCCACGCACACAGCGCATGCCACCACTTCTCCTTCTTTGGCGGCGCCACAGACTCCTCTGTCACCGCTGCTCCGCCCCGCCAGTGCTGTCCCTGGTACCCAACATTTCCCTCTGCCGTCGGTGACTGAACCGGACTCTGGGCGGACGACGGATCAGCAAACGGGCTCGACTTCTTCATGCTCGGCTTGAAGGAGGCGTCTGTCGGCGAGGCCGCGGCCGAGGTCGGTGACCTCAGAGGGTCGGATTCCGCAGGACTGTCGTAAGGGTTCGGGTAGGCTGTCTGTGCATTGGCGCCGCTCGTTGAGGGTAAAGATAACTGCTCCAGAGTTAGATTGCCGATAGGTATGGTTCATGGGGTGACTCACGTCATGAGACTGCGAGGAAGACGTGCTGCTACTCCGACTGCCCTTGCCCTTGTGCAAGAGGTTGCCGAATACAGAAGATCGCTTGACGGTGCCCTGGATCGACGATAGTCTCGAGCGAGGCAGCGAGGTGGTGGAAGAGCTCGCCGAGGACCGGCCAGAGTCGGTCTGTGACGGGAAAACACGCGAAGCGCGCGCAGCCTTGCGGCGAGCCGTCTCACGGGCCGTAAACTTCGCCAGGTTCTGTGCGCCGCAAGCAAAGTGAAAGGCAGTGTCGGAAGAGCAATGCAAGTGGAAATCACAGCGTCAGCGCCTGATTACGATTGCGCCGGGACGAGGGGCATACTCACTGCTTGAACACGCCTCTCCTCCTCCTCTTCCTGGCTCAATGGCGGGTACGAGTGGCTGAAGTCTGCCGTCGCTGGGCTCTGGGCGGGCGACGAGGACTCGTCCCAGGCTCTCTCCTTGCCCTTGTACCTGACCGCTCCAATGTCTCCGTCTTCTTCCTCGACCCATCGACTTCCTCCAGCGCTTCCCGATCCGTGACGGCTTCCGTGGCCGTGAGAAAGCGGCTTCGAGTAGACTACCGAGCCGTTGACGGCGGTTGTTGGGGATCCAGTGACCTCCTCGAGTTGGTCGTCGAGAGGGACATAGTCCTTTGTGGAGTGGATGCCAGCGGTGTTAATGACTGGCACTGACGGCATGAGGGTCGTCTCGCGTCGGGGCCGAGATAGATGCAAGGGATGAGGGACGCGATGGTGGAAGACGCCGGTCGCGATATAAGAATTGCGAGAGTTTAGATTGCGAGAATAATCAAGGGAGTGTGTAATAGGGGAAACGGATCTCCCGAGATCGATCCGGATAGTGACGCGGTAGATGCTTTATGACGATGAGGCGGTGGCAGAGGAGGCGTTGTTGATGCTGGTCGGTGTGTGTTACCGGGGGATGCGTGTGTTGTTGTGTGTGTGTATGTTACAAAGAAGAGTGGAATGAATGTTGGTGGAGACAGTGATCGCGATTCTGATGAAGAGAAGTGGGTCAGGCCAGTGGTAAATAGGGGTGTTGAAGGGGCTATTAGGGGGTGGTGGCTTGGTCCTCATGCCTGGTATCCCTCCCAGAACGTCGCAGGCCCAGACAGCCGCAGACAGATGACCCAGCCGAAGCCTGGCCAGACGCGCGCAGGTGGACCCAGCCGCAGCGCATGATCACCATTACCGAAACTAAGGTATTCACCCTTAGCTTTTTCCTTAGCTCTTCTAATTTCGGTCATTACCACCCCGCCATTGTGGTGACGCGCCTCTCCAACCCCCCCAGAAGGCGCGCCCTGCCACCCTTCCGGTCTTTCCGGCGATACCCACACCACGTGGCATTCATCCACCCAAGCGCGTCAGCGTTGTCGTTGTGACTTCATCGACCACTGGCTGCTTTCGCTTGCGCGGCTGGACGACTCTACTCTGGCTGATACATCTCTGTCGTCTCGACACATCTTATACCCCGGCTTCGACTCCCCGCATCACCCCAGAAGCCATGAACATCAACAACGTCGACATTATGCACCTCAAGAAGGGCGAGGTCAACCTCGGTGTACGTCTCTCGAACGCTGACGCTTGCTGACTGTCCAGACCTCGATCATGGCCGTCCAGTTCGCTGATGGTGTCGTTATCGGTGCCGACTCGAGGACAACCACCGGAGCTTACATTGTGAGCTATCATGTCGCCTGTAGCTAACCCGCAGGCCAATCGTGTGACGGACAAGCTCACGCACATCCACGACCGCATCTACTGCTGCCGTTCCGGATCTGCTGCCGACACCCAGGCCGTCGCCGACATTGTCCACCACCACGCCCAGCTCTACACCCAGATCTACGGTGAGGCTCCTCCCGTGGCCACCATCGCTGCCCTCTTCGAGAAGCTCTGTTACGAGAACAAGGACCAGCTCTCGGCTGGTATCATTGTTGGAGGCTGGGACAAGGAGAACGGAGGAAGCGTGTACAACATTCCGCTCGGCGTCGGTACCTTCAAGCAGCCGTGGGCTATCGGTGGATCCGGATCGACGTACGTCTACGGATACTGCGACGCTACGTATCGTGAGGGCTGGAACGAGGAGCAGACGATCGAGTTCGTCAAGAACAGTGAGTTAACCATGATTGTCCGCAGCTGACGGCAGCTCTTGCTCTCGCCATGAGCCGCGACGGATCGTCAGGAGGATGCATCAGGATGTGTGTTCTTACCAAGGACAAGGTCGAGCGTATCTTGTGAGTTGCCGCGAGATCGAACCATAACTGACATCAGCATTCCCGGAAACGAGCTCCCGCGCTTCTGGGAGGGCAAGGAGGTGCTCGGTTCTGCCGAGAGGGTTTCCGCGACTTCGGTGTAGATTCGGTGTAGACGATTAGACGGGTGTTGAGGCGGTGGCCGAGCGTCACCTGCCGGCCGGAAGCGTCGCCGCCACCTTGCTTCCGGAGTGCTTCGCCCATCGGGCACGGCGGGGACAGTAGAGCACAGATTATACAACAGAGTCTCGAGAGCACATTTGTAACGATAGGATGAAGTAAATGAAAGACACGACCTGGCCCCGAGGGGACCGGACTGGCTGAGCGGACTGATGTGCCGATGGGTGGAAGCGGGACGGTACCGGGCAAGCGGGGCGGGGCCGGGTTTGGTACGACGCTGAGCACGGGCGCTGTGAGGTACGAGTGGGTGGGCGACTGTCAGTTCGGTCGTGCTGCAGGCCAAGATAAGCACATTGAAGTTGTGTGCTGCAGATTTCGGGACTCATTGACGGATGTACATGCAGAGTGCCGAGAGTGCCAGAGGCTGAATGCCCAGAGAGCGATGCAGTGATCGTGAACAGATGTGTGCACAGTGAATGGCAACGGGTCGGCCACCTTTGTTAGCGGCATCTCTTGGACCTTACTTGGCTTGCTGGACCCTGACGGCCCGGTTCAACAACTCGACCGCCGCCTCAATCTGTCATCCGACGTGCCCTTGCCCTTCCTCTCTCTCATCTCCACTCTCTTGCCCATCGACTACCACGTCGCCGCGCCGCCCCGTCGAACCGCCCTCACCCATCCTCAACACAGGCTTTGATATCGTTGCCGGTAGCTCAGTTTGCAAGCTGCACCGGTAGTCGTGGGTCTAATTCCGTTCCCTACCCATTGGTACCTGGATCGAGCTTGCGACTCTCCATATCTCATCTCGGCGCGATCGAAAGTCATCCTTTACTCGACCTCTCCAACGTGTCCGTTTCCCGACTCTGGACCCATCGTATCGGACGCACAACCTTTAGTGCCGGACAGGTGGGTGACAGCAGTGACGACGATTGCCGCCGGACTCGCAAGGTTTCGACGCACTCCCAGATCGGTGTGCGGCCCAGTGGCCCAGTTGGTCCTGGCAGGCCTCAGGCACCGACGAGGAGCATATCTCGCTCGAGTCTTGGACTACGGTTCAAGCTGTACAAGCTTTGGCCTTGCACTCGAATAAATTGGCCTCCCCTGTCGAATGGCATCCATTCTTCGGCACACCACCACGACAACAACTAGCGCCTATCCTCGTAACCAGTGCTGGCAGGTGGTCTGACTTTTCCTCAGTTGTTTCGGAGGTTCAGCCTCCGCCCACGATTCCGGACGATCTCGTTCGCATTTTGCGGTCGAGCGCCTTAGTCCTTGAACGAGGGCCGTGAGCGACACGGTGATCAGAAGACCCTCGACACTCGATACACCGCGCCCGTCGGACCTGCGTCCTACGAGCGAGACACAAACAGCGGAACATACCTCCTCATCAAGCTAGACCGCCAGCACTCCTTCGTCATCCTAAAAAGCTATCCCGGCCTTGGCATTTGGCGCTCCAACCATTGCTTGCGCTGCCAACTGCCCTCAATCGCGTGCGCTTGGCCTCGAATCGACAAGCGGATCCCAAAAGTTCCATCCTTCAACGGACGCCAGCACCCGCTGATCGCCCAGCCATTGTTTTACATTCCAAGCTATTGTTCGACCTCTTCCCTCTTGAGGCTTACTCTTGTCTCGCTTCACCGCCTAGCCGCCGTTTCGTGTGCGCCGCATCTTCTCGGTCGGTTTTGGGCTTGGAGCGGTCTCCATCAGACATAAGACGAGTGATTGCCCATCCTCTCGGCGTTCTACCTGTCTCTCCATCTCCATCTCCATCGACGACGCCCACGCGACAACCTCGACCGACCGCGACGAATTGGACAGCACACCGTGTCTGTCCCCGATAACTTCTTGCAGCCATGGGTGCCGCCTGCTGTAAGCCAGAGGTGAGTGACTGCGCGGCGGCTCGAGCTGACAGGTTAGGCGATCGACTTCGATGCTGAGGTCAACCTGTTCCACTTTTACCTCCTGCGCAGCGTGGGCAAGGGAGCTTTCGGAAAGGTGAGCTAGAGCGACTTGTTGCAGCTGACATCAGGTGCGCGTCGTGCAGCACAAGCAGTCCAAGACGCTATTCGCCCTCAAGTACATCAACAAGGCGAAGTGCGTGAAGATGAAGGCTGTTGCGAACATCATCCAGGAGCGGCGACTGCTGGAGGAGGTAAGAGCTGTGCCTTGAGGGTCTAGCTGATATCATCAGATCGACCACCCGTTCGTCGTGAACCTTCGGTATGCGTTCCAGGACGACGAGAACTGTTTCTTCGTACTCGACCTGATGCTGGGCGGCGACCTGCGCTTCCATCTCGACCGGGCAGGCGCGATGGCGGAGGAGGTTGTGCGGTTCTACGTCGCCGAGATTGCCATGGCGATCGACTACTTGCACTCGAAGCGGATCGTTCACCGTGACCTGAAGCCGGACAACATTCTTCTCGACGAGCGAGGGCATGCGCATATCACCGACTTCAACATCGCCGTGCACTTCAGCGAGCGACGACTGCTGACCGGTGTCGCGGGAAGTATGGCGTACATGGCGCCCGAGGTGCTCACGAAGCGGGGCTACAGCGCGCCAGTCGACTACTGGTCTCTCGGCATTCTCGCGTATGAGCTGTTGTTCGCCAAGCGGCCGTTCCGGGGGAAGACCAACTCGGCGTTAACCAACTCGATCCTGCACGAGCCGCTGTCATGGCCGGAGGACGCGCCGACACGCTGCTCAAGCGAGGGCATGCACGCGCTGCGGAGCTTCCTCGAGCGCGATCCGAACAAGCGCCTGGGTTACCGCCCCGGCGGCGGCGGATTCGAGGACATCAAGGCGCACCCATGGTTCGCGGGTCTGGACTGGGCAGCGCTCGGCCGGAAACAGGTCGTTCCGCCATTCGAGCCCGACTCGAAGCGCGCCAACTTTGACGCGACGCACGAGCTCGAGGAGCTGCTGCTAGAGGAGAACCCGCTGAAAGCACGGAAGCGGAAGAATGATGGTGAGGGCGCCGAGCTCTCCCCCGAGATGCGGATGATGGAGGACCATTTCGCCGTGTTCGACTACACGCGCTCGCAACGAAGGAGCTACTACCGTCCCCCGCAGGGCAAACTCCCCGCCGCCGAGCGGATAGAGATGAAGCACCTCAGCCCCGACAGTGCGCGCCCGCACACGCCGAGCGACCACCCCAGCCACGTTGTTAGCGGCACAGGCGACCACATCGAGGACCAGATCATGGAGGGCGGCGGGCTGCAGGGCGTCGGATCAAGAGATCCCGGGCGGCAGCTCGATTCGCCCCGGCCCTCGCCGGCGCCGACACCGGCTCTGTCGCCCATCAATGGTGGCCCCGGGAGCCCGGACGGTGAGCGCGCACCAGCTCCCGTCGCTGGGTCCAGGTTCTAGACCGATTTTTCAGCATCGAGGCAAAACACATCTTTGCCAGCAATCTATAGTAGAAGCGAGTTTTCAGAGAGAAGAGCACAGCAGTACAGTATCCCCCCCCCATCTACCCCACGCCCTCTTGTAATTTGCTTTTGGTCACCAGTGTAATGCATGCTGGTTTTGATACGCCCTTGTCACTGAGAATGGTGCTTCCTCTTCTGCTGAGGATACTTCAATTCCAGAGGAGCTCGAGGAGAAGGGGTAGTGGCGAAGGAGACGACTGCGCAACGGCTCTGTTCTGTTGTGGGCACGGGTCATACCGGGCCAAGACATGGGCCTGAGAAAGCAGTGCGTGAGACATGAGAAGCGGTCTCATCGCCGTTTCAGCTTCAGACACGGAGGAGGGCGTGGCGACGAGGGCGCAGAGGGCGCAGTCTGGATCTCGTGTGGCTCCTCGCCCTCTTGACACAAGGGGCCGTCTCACATCACACCTACTCAGCTTCATAAATCCAAAATCACTCGTTCAATATGGTTATGCAATTTCGCTGTAGATACTGGTGTTACAAGTTGGTAGTGTCCTTGGTCTATGATGCGCCTGACCTGGTTTCCCCCATTTGCTCCTCCGTCTCTATTACCCTCCGATCCTAACCTCCCGAGTAAGTCCACCTCAGTCCACCTGGGCTGGAGAAATTTCATAGAATCGGCCAGCCCTGTGGCCAGCATGCCAGAATCGGCCAGTCAGGGACTTCAACGGCGAAGTTACAGCTGCACCGTTCAGCTTCAACTTGCTGGCAACAGCCATGAAGAAGTCCGTTTGCAGTGAGTTTTGAAAGGTGGCAAGATCAGACATAGATCTGCACCCTATCCAAGGTTGAAACCCAGAGAAGTGCTGGTTGATAACTGACGAGCTTGTGGACATGGCCATGATTCTCAGATAAGGTGGTGCCAAGGTGTTGCGCACCCACGGGGCCTCTGGCAACTCTGCGTACGGTGGGCTGTCCCTGACTGGCCGATTCTGCGAAGCTGGGCGACTAGCTGGCCGATTCTATGAAATTTCTCCACAGACATCGCTGTCAGTGGCTTGCGCAAAGCCATCTTAACTATCGGAAAACAAAAGGAAGCATCGCCTACTCGGCAGCCTCAAGACCTCCCCACCTTGGCACAACCCTCTGCACAACATAACAGTGAGACAATCTCGCTCACCATCTCTTTCGGTGCTCGGGCTTGGAGCCGTAGCGCTCCTGGTGCTCGAGACCGGCGGCGGCGAAGCCTTCCTTGTCTCCTTCTCCGAGATTCCAACGACGCGCTCCTCGTCGTTCGCCGTCGTGCTCGTCGTGGTGGTCGGGTGCTCGCCCAGGGTCGGGGGTTCGGCGAGGGCCGTCTCGATCGGAACCGCGGCGTCCGTCTCGACGGCCACTGTCGTCGTCTTCTCCTCCTCCTCAGCCCGCGGGCCGAGGATCTGGTCCTCCGTCCTCAACCCAAAGACGACAATCAGCGCGCTCATGGTGAAGAACGCAAGGCCAAGCGAGACGCAGTAGTAATAATAAACGTGCTGGTCCATGGACTTGACAAACTGCGTGCTGACGAGCGGCGCGACGGTCGCGCCCAGGCCGTACATGGCATGGAGGAGGAACATGATCGTGCTCGCGTGCCGCGGCAGGCGGCTCGCGAGCGTGTTGACCTGGGCGTCCTGCAGGCCCAGCCCGAAGCCGTTCAGGACGAACGCGAAGCAGAACAGCGGATACGGCCCGCCCCAGCAGATGAGCACGTAGGCGAGCACCTGCATCCCACTGCCGAAGGGGCAGACGATCCCGAACCCGAACCAGTCGGTCAGGTACACGTTCGAGAGGCCCGCGAAGAAGAAGCCGAGCGCGTTGAACATCCATATCAGCGACACGACGAAATAGTTGATCCCGTAGTACCGCTGCAGGCTCGGGAGGAGGGGGCCCTGGCTGCCGTCGTTCCACCCCGCGAGGAACATGACGAGGAAGAGGGTGCCGCTGGCACGTGGTTAGCACTTGCACATCACGAGATGGAGATGGGAGGGATGAGTAGAAAGGGAACTTTTTTAGCTCACATCATGACATTGTACCGCGCCTTCGAAGGCAGGGGGAGCGGCTTCGCAAGCCGTTTCCACAGATACTGGTGCTGCGGCCTGTGCCCCGACGAGGACTCGACGAGACTCAGCCCCGTGCCCGCGTGCGGCTCCATTGTCCCCGGCGCGCCGTAGTTGTACGTCTGGGACGCTACTCGCTCAAGCGGTGGTGGCGGCGACGGGCCCGGGGCCTCGGCAAGCTTCTCCACTGCCGCCTGCGATGCCTCTGGGGGCTCGTACTTTTCGTCGAACGACATGGTCTGCGCTGTGTATGCTGATGCGAGGTGGCGATGGGGGTTCAGATGGCCGTCTGCAGCGTCAGTTCTTGCTTTATACCAGCACATCTGTGATGGCGACACGGCCTGGTGTCTTACCCCGAGATATCGGCAAGTTTCCACTCACCTGCACTCAATGCCACGAAGAGATGAGTCAATTTTCAACCGATCTGCGGCCAGGCTTGGTCCTCTTGTTCCTCTGCGGATGTCGAGTCGAGGAAAACAGCAGTGCCGTACTATCGCAGCGCGCTCAGCATGGAGTGTGAGAGTGGAAATGGGAGTGCAAGAGGGAGTGGAGAAAGAGAAAGGGAAAAAAACCTCCCGACATACATCCCGGTGATGGTGGGTGTGCGGCGTGTGTCGGCGACGGGCCCGGCCCGCGGGCCGTGGGCCGTGGGCCGTGTCAACCTCGGGTCGGGCCTGACCGAAAGGAAGGCAGGGCTGCAATTGCGAGTGGTTTACAGAGGAGTCAGAGGAGGGGCTCGGGACATCCTCGGATATACGATACAACACGCACTGCTGATACCAGTGAAGGCTGCCCCGGCCAGTTAAGCGGGTGCAATAAACCTGCCGAGACCCGGTCGAAGGCTTGGCGAACCCGGCGCAGGGATATGACATGAGGGCATGAGTCCAAGGGTCACCACTCATTTCTGCCCTGGTACAACCATCTGTACGAGGCGGATTGGAGCCCCTCACCGCCAGAGGAAAGGGAACGGAGCAAGTGCTCGAAACCCGGCGACTGCTAAAGTCTAAGGACTAATCGATACAGAAAGATAATTGATACAAGAGAGCCGTGACTGGACGGCTATGCGGCTGTGTCTATGCAACTGGGGGCTTGGACTCGAGCTCGACGGCTACGGCACCCACGTCGCAGTCGCCGGCATCTGTCACGATCGCGGGACTCGGAAGGCGAGGACGCGCTGGATCGCGGTCCACCGGGCTTTGGGGGCTGCGCGGGCTTCGAGGGGAGACGGACGCTTCAGACGAGAGAGAGACGGTTCGGGGGCCGCCTACACCCGGTCCACGCCGGCCGCGCCGAGTCTTGGCCGCTCCGTCCCGGGAAAGCGCAGGGCATCGCGGTGGGATCGGGAACCTCGCGGCCGTCCCAGGTCACGAACTGGCACGTCGATGTGAAAGTGGCGGGGTCGAAGGTGGTGATGGAATAGAGCCTGCTCTTCTCGACTTCACCGGGCTGGTACGACTCGACGATGGCAGCGTAATTGTCCCAGGCAATTCGGCCGTTGTTGATCTCAACCGAGTCAGTCGTGCACCAGTGCTGGTCAGCGCATGCGAGGACAAAGTCCGCGCGAGCCGTTCTGTTCCAGCCATCAAGCACTTTGGCCACACCTGGCACATGCTTCTCCAACTGCGGTCGGGCCTTCATGTCAGCAATGCGCTTCGTACTGCCCTGGGTACATACAACTTCATCGTCCACGTAGTAAGCAGTGTCGCGAACCCATGAGCGCCATGATGCGACAGTCTTCGTACACGGTCGCCGCGTGGTCAAGCACTCATCCCTCTCCTCTTCGATTCTAGAGTCAGCGTTCTTGGTCTCCGATGTGCAGTGTGCAGGACCCACCGCTGCAGTATGATGTCCACGATGCTGAGGGCGTAATCATGCTCATCAACGTGGTTTCGAAACCCTGCGCCGTCCAAGGTCATTGCACGAGCGACTTTGCGGCTTGCACATTGGGCTGCAAACAGGATCCGGTACTCGCGGCTGTGCGACTGGAGGAGGCCAGGGTAATAGTATGTCGTCTGTGCCCAGGATGGATACTCGTCACGAGGGTAGATAATCTCATCGAATTCGTCGGACCCGTTTGAGCTGGACATGATAAGGAGAGTTGAGATGAGAGGACAGGAGAGTAGTGAATACAAGGCGAGCATGCAGGGAATTGTCGAGTCATCGCCTGATACCCGCGGTAGATAGGCCCGCAGCGGCACATGTGGGGAAACAGGGTGACACAAGTTAGCATGTCAGTAGCTAGACCCCGAAGACATGCATAATGCTGTATGCGAAGGCAATGTGCGAACGAGACGACGACTACGGGCTCAAAGTATGCGAGTGAAGATGCGCTGGTGCTCGTAAAGCGAATAAACCTCCAGCCGTCTCGGATGGTTGTCGTCCATCCCGCGGAACCAAACGGCCCTGGACGTCAATGACAGGACGCGCCTGATTTCTCGTTACAGTACGCCACCCAATCTGATGCAACAGCGAACGAGTCTCTCCCACGCATGCGCATGACACAGCGCCGCCGACAGTAGCTGCAACGTTGTGACGACTACGTATGCACAGCAAGGTGAACACTGTCCATTGCTGACAAGAAGGCGATGCAGACATTCGACGAATGCGCCTACTTGCCTAGTACGTGTGTGCAACGGTGGCAAACGGACAGACCAGGTACCAGATGCAACTGTCCCAGGATCAATGGCAGCAATGCAGACGCCACTCAACGCTGCGCCCTTGTTCTACGCCTTGCGGACGCACCTATCGGCGCGCCTCTCTGCTCTGGCAGGCTCGCCACCCCGAGTATGCTCGGCACCTCCACCGGATGTCTGCACGCCTGTCAGCACTTGCTCGGCTGATGGCGCTGCACGCGCGGGCACGGTGTCGCGACGATCGGGTATGAATCAGTGTCTCAACGTTGTATTGCAGCGGGCAGGCTGCCGGGGGCAGGCGTCCAGCTTCCAGGCGCATCAAGGCGCGAGGCGTGTCGACGTGTGTCTGTGCGCATCGTCGTCGTCATTCACCCCTTTGTGCTCGAGCCTCTGGCGCTCTCGCCCCAGTCCTCTCCAACGCAGCCTCCATCATTCAAGCGCACCAGCGCATCACTGCATCCGCTCGCTCACATCTGGAACTAGCCTCACTCATTCCCGCTTCAGTGTTCGCTGAGCAGAGCAACCCATGTCGCACACATCACCTCCAATCTAACACACCCCTGCCTCCAAAGCCCGCCCTTCAGCCTTAACCTCCACACCCCTACCATCATCACCTAACAACAAGAACCACAATAACAACAACAACACAACCGCAGCCTCCACTCCACTCTCTACTCACAGCACAGCAACTCACATTCGCCTCCTCGCTCCTGACCCCTAGCCTCAATCCAAAGCTCACCGCTTCCCCCGCGACAACACTCCTTTCCGTCTTGGTCCCCAACTTTGGTCTTCTCCCTCCCCATCTCTCCCTGCGACGACAATACTCACTCTCTCCCCCTCCCCTTCAGTTACTCCCATGCCACCATAGCTTACTCCCCTCCTTATTCTTAGCTCCGCCCTGCCCTTCAAAAGACAAGCACCTCCCCTCAGCATCGTTAGTTCACTTCACCACCTTTGCCGCCTTTTCTCGCGTGCACCCGACTAGATCACCCTTCCCTTCACTCTCGTGTTCGCCAGCCCGGGACGACCATGGACAGCGGCGCTACACCAGGCCCAGGCGCACGACGCTCGAATCCTATGAGGTTGTCAGTAGACACGACTGCGAGCGCCAGTGGCTCAGCGTTCAGGAACAGGGTACTCCCGGTCTTGCCCGCGAGTGCGCCAGGCGGCTCATGTCCGGGAGCAGCACGGACGCTGTCGGCCGCGACAGCTGAGGCGCCTCACGCCGCCTCGCATCAGTTCCAGGAAGACGTCGACTCGTTCCCTCTACCCCCAGAGATGCTCAAGGCGTGGACCGATCTGGCGGGCGCTGAGGGCATCAACGGACCGCCCTATGTCACCCTGGACGCACCGGAGGCTGAACTGCTCGGATATCCCACTCCGACCTCTGCCGTATCGGCCACCCAAGAATACAAGTTCGACCCCGACGACGTCGATGCCCTCGCCCTGAAGTCACTCCAGGCAAACAATGCCGCTGCAGATGTAAGTCGACGCCTGCAAAGGTAGGAACGAGGGCCTGGCGCTGGCGCAGCGTTATGCACACACAGGGAAGCTGACACCCAGCCTCCCGCCCTCATCAGCACCGTCAGCACCCCAGATGACAAGTCACCCGCACTCCACACGCCTCCTTCCGATCTGGCTCCGAGTTGCCACCCGCCGTTGTCAACGCTCGACTCGGAGGGCGCACTCATCTCAAACCCCGTCGACCACACCCTTGTTGCTCCGGCTACAACGCCGCAAGGTCAAGGCAGAGGATCCTTCGATCAGCACCCCTGTGGCGGAGCGTGCATTGCATCCGCAGACCCCCTTGAACCGGGCTCTGCCTCTCCGCAGTCACTTGGCGATGCCGCCTCCCGTATAGCGACCCCTACAACGATTGACACGGATCAACCAGCAGGGGCGTTAAGTGTGAGTTCATACCATGAGGCAGCTTGAACTGATCACTCAGATCCCGCGCGCAGCTGCCGCCACCATCGTGTCGACCTCGAAAGGCTGTCTCTCAGCACCTCTGCCGCTCGAGTCCGCGTCCGCCAATGCCACTATCCAGCTCAATCGCGGCAGTACGGTCCATGATAAGCAAGCCGGTGGACTGTCTCCTCGCTCCGGTCATTTGGCGGAGCAGTCTCTTGAACCTTTGACCCCAACGCCCAGTCGTATTATGAACACGCGAACGTTCCCTACAGTCTCACAATCTCCCTCGCCCGCGCCAGTGCAGTGGAGCGAGGACGTGTGTCGCAGCTCATCCGCCCCGCCGCAAATTGGAGCAACCGCCACGGACTCTGCTGAGCTGGCCGCATTTGGCGTGCCCAGTCGCCCCAAGTCATGCAGTGGGAATCCTCCTGCCAATCTGGCACTGACACCAGTCGATTATGTGGCAGCAAGAGACAGTCGCAGCAGCCAGAGTCCAACTACGTCACCCGTCTCACCAACCTACGATGGCCCTGCCCACGGACCAGAGTACACGGGAGAACCTGTCCAACAGTTACAGTTGCCCGCAGTCGACGGCCTCACCCTGCAACCCACACTCAAGGGCGTTGATGAGACAATGGAGTGTCAGATCACAGGCGCAGTGCCTCCCCTACCCACTCCGGATGCGGGCAGCAGTGCAGAGCAGCCACTGTCCCCTAACCGGCCGCAACTCAAGTGGTGGCAATCTGGCCCATCGCCGTATCAGCACCGGCCCCTGACACTCGTCAACGTGACCGGATCTGGTGAATTGCCAAAGTCTGCTGTCACCGGCTATGTGGCTGGAGAAGACCACGCTCCTGTGGCGCCGGTCGAAGATGACGAGGAGCTTAGCGAGCTAGACTCTGCCAGTGAGGCGGGGGCTTCAGAAGTCGCTTCCACCCCGTATCTCTCTGCCGTCTCGACCCCTGCCGACACTCCGGCTGCTCAACAGGAACCTCCCAGCCCGACTAAGCCGCTTCCCGCCCACAAGCTCAAGAACAAGGGCAATGCCCGTCAGTTGATCGACCTTCAAACGTACAGCACGTCCATCTTAGGCGGGCAGACAATGATGTCTGCCAAGCGGACGCGCAAGCGGGAGAGCAGTGATACGGTATGTCTGACGCTGAACCCTTATCTCACACGACAGACTGCATCCGTCATCAACTCGCCCCAACCATACTTGCCGCCACCTCCCAAGCGGCAAAAGGCGGGTTCTGCTGCTGGCGACAAGGTTTGCAACCAAGACCAAGCTGCAACTGTACGTTGTCTCGCTGCCTACGTCGCTGACATGCATAGACGCCAAACGGCCGAACCCAAAAGGCTTCTACCACGAAACGCAAGAAGAAGCAATCCGCACCTGATGATGATCCGCCTCAAGCAGCTCAAAAGCGACAGCGACAGAATGTGAAGCAGTCAGGAGCGGTGAGTTTGTTACTGGGAGGTAGCATCTGACTGTAGCCCGCACCCAGTACCTTAGTAGACGAAGGTGGAACGATTGCTCAGAATCAACAAGCAGCTACTCCTTCCCAGCCTCGACCCTCGAGCACATCACGGTCGCCCTGGAAGCCAGGAGAGGTGAGCCGGTGTGTCCGGCCGCGCTGACTGCAGACCGCCATCCTGAAAGAGTTCTTCGGCGACGGCATCTTCAACAATGACAAGAGCGTCCTCTGCCGCGCGGCTCTCATCAAGGCCGGATTCTCACGTTCAGCAGGCGCAATCCTGACTCGGTAAGCTTTCTCTGCGCTGACTAAACTGACGTTCAGCGCGCGCGAACAACACAAAAAGGGCGTGTTCAGCGCTTAGCTATGCCCCCACTCCACTTCCACTCACATGAACAGTCGGATCTGCAAGCATTTCACCCATCCATACACTCCCCTCCATTATCCCACTTCACAAGGTTCCGGCCCCAGGCGTTGTATAGCTGTATGTAATGCAAGCGATGTGCATGTTGTAAAGAACAAGTGGGGTGCATTGGTCCCCCGACAGAGGGCTCCGGGTTGAATGTCAGGGAAGCCGGTCGGCCGATCCGGTCGGACGTTTCAGATTCGTGTGCTATCTATCATTGGTGTCCCGATCCTTTCCTTCCTTCCTCTCACTCTCACACTTACTCGCTTTTCGACCATGGTGTTGGTCGACGACTTTACGTGCGGCACCTGCCTGAAGCAATTCCCCTCAGGCTGGCGCGCGCGCGACAAGCACTGTGCTGCGCTCGGCCACAGCCGGCCCACGTTTGAATGCGAGACCTGCCCTCGCTACTTCAAGACGGACGCCGCCCGGTGGCAACATATGGACGCGTGCAACCACTTTTCAATCGAGTGCGACATGTGCGACGAGACTTGGCCGACAATGGACATGCTGCGCGAGCACGAGCGCGACGACCACGACTACTGGCACTGCGAAGAGTGCGGGGACGGGTTCTATGCCGAGTGGGAACTGCAGGAGCACAGAGAAGACGAGCACCTTCGCGAGTGCCAGTGGTGCGACATGTTTTTCGAGTTCGACTCGCAGCTCGAGGACCACGAAGAGCACGCCCATCACTACTGCCACGCCTGCGAGCGTCTGTTCAACTCGGCGCACAGCCTCGAGCAGCACCGCCGCTCCCGCGCCCACCTCGGCACGCCGATCAAGTGTCCCTTCTGCTCGGCGGGGTATGCGACGGCAACGGGCGTCGTGCACCATGTCGAGCGCGGATCGTGCCCGAACGCGCGTAACGTCGACCGCCGCGCGATCTTCCAGATGATGAAGCAGCGCGATCCGAACGGATACGTCACAAAGCTGCTCCTCGAGTACGACACGACCAAGTACACCTCGACAAAGGGCGGGTGGAACGGTCAGGCCTGGGAGTGCTCCCTCTGCTACCGCGAGTTTGGCACGCAGCGTGCTCTCGACCAGCACCTCGCCTCCCCGGCTCGTAAGTACTACAATTGTAGGCAAGAGTGACTAACACACCCAGACGCACAGAACCTCTACCACTGTCCCAACCGCTCGTGCCGCAAGGATTTCTCGACCCTCGCCGCGGCCGTGAACCACCTCGAGAGCGAGGGGTGCGGATACATGAACTTCCACCAGGTGCAGAACACCATGGGCACCCTCATCGGTAGCAACCGTTTGCTCGCGTTCTGAGCGCGCAGCGTGCTACCAACAATGGACTGCATGATTGTGGAAGCGTCAGTCGACGCTATTGTCCATTGTTCAACGGAACCGACGACATATCTGGAAGGCACCAGAACCTCAGCAAAAGCTCAAAAGGAGCACAGGCACTGCGTCTGTGCACTCAGAAGTGGCAGTTATGATTTGTGATTACGACGCTGGAATATCAGCAACAGCATCTGTTCGCCAGGCTGGGCCTGGCAATACCACAACGACTCGTTTATGATGGAGAGTTGCCGCGGCGTCGGGCACGAGGCTGGCTCACTCGTGCTCTGCCAAGGCACTCGCTCCATGTGAATGACCCCACTGGAATAATATGGCTGAACAAGGTTAGCCGCGATGTGGAAGCCACGCAGTAGGCGGAGACGCAGGCGGGAGAGGACGAACTAGTTGTGAATAGCTTATGCGACGTCTGTGCATACGATCACAACGGGCGACTTGGGCTGAGCATCCGCGTAGCAGTCAGTCCTACATTGGCTACCACAGGAAGCGGTGAATGCGGTTCGTCTCATGGTCAGATGCCACGAGCCATAATCAGGGATGATCGGTCATTTGACCAGCGGTCAGCCTGGTGACCATAAAATAGTCGCATGCTCCATCGGCCTCCACACTGACTCTCACACCACCTCCACTCCGCTCACCCTCACTCATGGCAGACTCTCACAGATACGCGTGCGGGGCTTGCAGCAAATGCTTCGCGGCCGAGGATACACGGGACAGACACTGCGCCGGATACGGCCACATAGTGCCTCCGTACGAATGCTCGACCTGTTGCCGCCCATTCAAGACCGAGCCAGCGCTCCTGAAGCACGAAAGGGACGCAAACCACTGTCCCTACAGTTGCGAAGAGTGCGGACGAACCTGGCCCACCTTCGCCGAACTGCAGACGCACGCAGCGAGGAACCATAGCTGGTGGCTGTGTCACGGCTGCGAGTCGGGATTCGAGTCCGAGGGCGAGCTGAACGACCATGTCGCTGACGAGCTATCTGCGACGAGTGCGAGGAGGAGCACCCCACCCTGCGAACCTTGAAACGGCATGAGCGAAACAAGCACTGGTACGCCTGTGACTACTGCGACGCCGACTTCGTGACGCTCCTGGAGCTGAGGAACCATGAGACTTCACACGGCGTGTACGCCTGCGACGAGTGTCCGTACGTCTTCGCCTCACCACGAGCGCTGGCGATGCACGAGCGGCACGAACATGCCTGGAGGAAGTGTGAGGAGTGCGGAACCGACCACCTGACACCTCTACAGCTGCAAGCGCACACCAAGGGCCATCGGTTCGAGTGCGAGTGGTGTCCCGCCGTCGTGCGCTCCCGCTCCGAACTGAGCCAGCACGAAGTTCTGGTGCACAACGCACACTACTGTCACAAATGCGAGGAGTTGTGCTACTCCGCCCACGACCTGCTACGGCACCAAGCATCCCACGGCGACTGGCACAGGTGTGGGTTGTGCGACGTCAAGGCAGGGAACGAGCAGTTTATCCTCGAGCACGAGCGTGCAGACCACTACGTATGTCACGAGTGTGGCCTTATGTTCGCCTCCCGGGTCGAAATCGAGGGGCATCTCCGCTCTTCGCCGGCGCATGTAGGCCAGCTACTGCGCTGCCCCTTCTGTCGCGGCGGATTCCGCACCGCTGCAAGGCTCGTATACCACCTCGAACAGGGTGTGTGTCCCGCTGCTCCTCGAGTCAGGATTCGCGAGCTCTGCGAGGTCATTAGGAACCGCGAACTGACTGGATACTTGAAGAGCGCGCTTACGGTGCGTAATGCCGTCTCATTCCAGAAGCGGCAGACGACGCAAAAGCACGCATACCGGGAAATCTTCAGGGCCTGGCGCATCGTGGGCGTTTGGCGCTGCTCGCTCTGCACCATCTATGGAGTCACGGGCCAGCAGCGCGACTTTCCTTCCCGCGAGGCGCTTGTTAAGCATCTCCACTCATCTGCTCGTGAGTACGCGGCTTGCTGGGAAGCGGTAGAAAGTACTGACCACCAGATCCCATGGACGTCTTCCTCTGTCCTAACGTGCGATGTGGGGGGCGGTTTGGGAGTTTCGCTGCTGCCGTGCATCACATCGAGAGCGAGGTGTGCGGGTATGCCAAGTTTAGGACTGTGCAGGACGCTGAGGGCAACCTTGTCGGCACGCATCAGGTGCTGTGGTCGGTGCCCGAGATAGGGAGCGTGCAGCGGCCGCAACACCTTACACGCCGTCATACGCATGCTTCAAGCTCGGCATCAACACCTCTATATCCGACTGCTATTGAGGAACCTGTCTCCTCTGTCCTCTCTAGCCTGAGAGGACTGGAGCTTTCCGTCACCTCCACATAGACGTAGACTGGTGCAACGGCCTCGTCGGCATACCTTCCAGAGTGCGACACACTCCCTCGCCCTCGCCGACATGGCAGGGGACAAACGCTGACGGTGTCCCCCTCTTCCTTCTTCACACTCACCCACTCACCGCTGACCAACCATGGCGTCAGCGCCCTCCGATCGTCTCTTCACTTGCGGCTCCTGCGAAGGACAGTTCCGCACCTCACGTTCTCGCGACCGACACTGCGCGCAAGCCGACCACCCCCTTCCTGGAATGGAGTGCGACACCTGTCCCCTCACATTCGACACCGACACCGAGCGCTGGCGACACATGGCGGCCGCGAACCACTTCCGCCTCCGCTGCGACGAGTGCGACCTGACGTGGCCCACGCAAGGCGAGCTGTTCAAGCACAAGCTCGACGACCACGAGCACTGGCACTGCCCCGCCTGCGACATCGCAATCCCCACGACCGACGATGCGCTGTACGAAGGGCAGGCGCACATGGAGGACGTGCACGGCTTCCAGTGCCGGTGGTGCAAGAGTGTGTGGGCGACGAACGAGGCCGCGCGCAGCCACGAGGAGAAGGAACATCAGCGCTGCCGCGTGTGCCGGCGCCAGTTCAAGAACGCCGACGAGCTCGCACAGCACCAGCACGAGCCTTTTGCACGTACACGTGCGACACGGCTGCAGGTGTCGCGCACCACATGGAGCGCGGCGCATGTCCCGTCGTCCCCGGCGTCGACCCGCTCCTCTTCTGGATCCTGAGGGGACGCAACCGCCGTATCCGCAGGAGACCACTCGTCGTCAGGCTCATGCTCGCGTTCAGCCCCAGGAGGGAGGTCGCGCGGCGCGTGAAGCGCTGTGGGCGGGACGGCAGGGCATGGGTGTGCTACGCCTGTAAGGGCAAGTTTAGGGCAAGTTTGGCTCGAAGACGGACCTCCGCATCCACCTGGCTTTCGTTTGCGTGCCTTGTGAGTTTCGCCATGGTTGCTCGGTGACTGAGGGATGCTGACGCTGCAGACCCGCCCAACACCTACGTCTGTCCTAACGACGGTTGCGGCAGAGTGTTCGACAGCCTTGCGGCGGCCGTGCACCACCTCGAGGTTGGGAAGTGTCGCTTTCCCCGCCGTCGTCGCGAGCACTGCGTGCACACTTTGACGCGGAGCAGGCGCGTGGTCTTTATATGATCTCCAACCGGGAGGCGCACCAAGAGCGCGAAAGGGTGGGTGCGAGTCATTGTCTCCGCACAGGAGAAGGTCCCAGAACTCGGAGAAGGCGGCTCAACGCAGGGGTGTTGTAAGACTAGGATGCAGGGATTGGGGGCGAAGAGGCAGTGTTCGATAGTCTGAAGGAAGTGCACGCACGCATGATGTATACCCTACCGGACAGCAGCAAGGGAAGGCATCCCCGTATCGTTGCACATCGCCTCGTGCATCCACAGAACTAGAGTTCAAGACTTATCTATCGCTCAGGGTGAGATCGGTCACTTGATCACTGTGGTCCGCGGCTGTCGGTCCGGCGGCAGCTGACCGGTGATCCTGTGGACGTATGACCTTTCTCACGCCTAAGGAAGCCTACTCCAACATCTCTCCATATCACCTTCCAGTTACCGACACTAATCGACATCACCCATGGGCACTGACAACTTTCACCTGCGGCACCTGCCAGAAAGGTTTCCCGTCCGGCTGGCGAGCACGCGACGCGCACTGCGCCGCGGTGCACCACGCCCCGCCTGAATTCGAGTGCGACATCTGTCCGCGCTACTTCGCATCCTCCCGCGCGAGCTTCCAGCACATGGCGAGCAAGAACCACTTCGCGTACCTGTGCGAGGCGTGCGGTTTGACATGGCCCACCGGCCCGGAGTTGCACGAGCACGAGGAAGTGGAGCACGGCCACTGGCCCTGCGAGGAGTGCGGAGACGCCTTCGGCTCCCTCCTCGCTGTGAATATGCACACCAGCAAGATGCACAGGTACGAATGCGAGTGGTGTGACTGTCTCCCCGCCTCCCCGACCGTGAGGAGGCGGCACGAGGTCAAAGTCCACAAAGCGCATTACTGCCGCCAATGCCAGAGTCTGTGCTACTCGGCACAGGACCTGGAAAGGCACCGCGCCGGGCACGGGATGGACTGGTCGTGCACTGTATGCTCGTTGCCTCTGCCCTCGAGGCAATGGCTGGTGGACCACGAGCGCGCAGACCACCTCCTCTGTCGCGAGTGTCGCCTCGTGTTCCGCACAAAGGAGGGGATCGAGGCACACCTCCGCTCGACCCATTTCGCGATCGAGTGTCCATTCTGCCGAACCGGGTTTGAGAAGGGTGCACAAGTCGTGCGTCACCTCGAGACGCGGAGCTGTCCGAATGCTCCCCGGGTTAGTATCCAGGACATCAGCGACGCCATCACGGACCGCGAGCCGATGGGATACCTCGTCAGCCTGCTTTGGGAGGTACAGACGGTCGTTTGCCGCAAGAACTGGCTGCCCATGCCTATGCCCAAGCACAAGCTGCACTGTCGTACCTGGCGCTGCCCCGTGTGCACCATCATTGGGCGAACGGGGCCAGAGAGAGACTTCCACTCTTACGAGGACCTGATCAGGCATGTGTACTCCGACGCTCGTGAGTCATTCGGTACAGGGTTGAAGGAGCGAGCAGAGCTGATGGCAGATCCGAAGAACGTGTTCACCTGTCGGAACCGCAGGTGCGAGCGGGAGTTTGGCACCCTCACTGAAGCTGTGGAACACCTCGAGGGAGAAGAATGCGGATATGCCAAGTTTATACCGACGCAAGATGCCGAAGGGAACATTGTGGCCACCCACCGTGTCCTCCTGTGAGGTTTAGACAGGCCGAGGGTAATAACGGGCCGAGACTCCCCGTTGACGACCTAATTGCTCAAGAATTGAGAGGAGACGGAACGAGCTGCAAGGACTCCGAAACTGTGACAGACACCAAAACCCCAGAAACTCGAAGATAAAGGCTTAGAACGAATTGAGAGGACTCGAAAGACTCAAAGCTGGCGGTAATAACCAACAAACCTCTGAGAGGAGCAGATATCGGCCAAAGAGACCTGAACCAAGTGAGGAGCTACGTCTCGGTGCGGCCATCGCCGTCTCTATATGCTGTGGAATACTCCGAGGCAACTGGCCACATGCATGCGCTCAGTGCAAGGTAGGTGACAACCCGGGAACGCCTTGGGATGATGTAGCTGGCACCTCGTACATGTCATGAATCTTATTATAAAGCATACTTAAACATCCTTCCAACCCTCAGCATTGCTGCAGCTCTCCCTACTAACGCTCGCCTTCGGCCACTCCCCAAACTTGTCATTACAAAAGTGAGCAGCAATATAGCAAAAGCTCTCGTTCTCGGCCCCATCGACGCCATAAGTCTCCACATCCTCCTTGACGAGCTCCCAATACCTCCTGCCCTGGCTCACAACAAAGCCGCGGGTGTACAGGAACCCGTCGTCGGATCCATCGAGCACTTCGTGGATGGCCGCCGAGTCGATCGCGTACAGAGCCTGGGCGCAGTGTTCGTCCCACTGGCCCAGGTCGCCTTGCGTGAGTGTGCCGAGATAGGTGCGGGTGGCGTCGAGGAAGGCGCGCTCAGCCTTGTCCAGCGTCGAGACGGCGGAAAGGCGGTCCTCGGACGACGCCGTGGGTGAGATTAGGGTGGATCGGGCCGCTGCGATGGATGGGCGGTAGGCCTCGGGCAGCGTCTGGGCTGCTGCGGCCCAGGCGTCCTCGATCGAGGTCCAGAATGCCTCGGCGCTGATTGAGATTGTCATTGTTTATACGACCCGTTGTGAATCCAGTGTTTCGAGTGGAGAACGCCGTCAAGGAGGATCGCTGTCGTCGTTTGCGGGGAAGGTGGGGTGGGCAAAGTCGATGTGGAGAGAAGGGTATGGTACCAAGATCCGAGAATACGGCCTGATGATGGCGTCGAGTGTTGTGTCGATGCGACGGGTTAGTCAACTTTCGTGGACGTGACCTCGCACGTTCCGCGGCTTGTGGAGGCTGTATTCAATGCAGATCCGCACGCGCGCACAGCCGCGTTCCCCGGTATACCGAACAGCGGCTCTTGCTCCTGGCACCGTCAGGAAAGGGCAAGAGGCGTCTGTCGCGTCGTCGCGTCTATTGTCCTTGGCAGCGTGCGGGGTCCCACCGGCTGTGACCGCAGCCGATCGAGCGGTAATTCGCCGGGTGTACTCTCCACTTTGTTTCTCCACTTTTCGCGGTGTCTGTCGTATACAACTGGTGGGCAACGAGCGCCTGCGCAACAAAATCATGGATACTGGACGGTTGTTGTGTGACTACTGACGACCTAATGCATGAACTATGGTATCTACGTGCTACACTGGGCACTTTTTTTACTTGGAGGCAATGAGCTGCTCGAGGACCTCGCAGATCTTGTCGCCCATCTGGCTCGTGGTCTTGTCACCGCCGAGGTCCTTGGTGCGGTAGTCGTAGCCGCCCTGGTCCTTGTTGTCGAGGACCTTGCGGACGGCCTGCTCGATGAGAGAGGCCTCCTCAGAACGGCCGAGCGAGTAGCGGAGCATGAGCGCAGCAGAGAGGATGGTGCCGATGGGGTTGGCGATGCCCTGGCCCGCAATGTCAGGGGCGGAGCCGTGGATCGGCTCGTAGATGCCCATAACGGTCTTCTTGGGGTCGGGGGCACCGGCGAGCGAGGCGGAGGGAAGCAGACCGAGCGAGCCGGGGATGACAGAGGTCTCGTCGGAGATGATGTCGCCGAAGAGGTTCTCGGTGACAACGACACCGTTAAGCTTGCGCGGGTTCGAGACGACGAGCATGGCAGCCGAGTCGATGAGGTGATGCTCCGTCTCGATCTCGGGGAACTCGTTCTTCATGACGTCGGTGAAGACGCGGCGCCAGAGACGCGAGGTAGCGAGGACATTGGCCTTGTCAAGCGACGAGACCTTGAGCTTGGGGTTGGCCTCGCGAGCGATCTGGCCGGCAACGCGGACAATGCGCTCAATCTCCTCCTGCGAGTACTTGCACTCGTCGACGGCGACGGAGCCGTTCTCGCCGGCCTCGGTGCGGTCACCAAAGTCTGTCGTTAGCTGAAGGACGGTCAAACAGCTACGCCAAAGTGACCAAGGACTCACAGATACCGCCGATCAGCTCACGGACGACAATGATGTCGGTGCCCTTGACGCGCTCAGCCTTGATGGGCGAGTACTCGAGGAGGGCGTCCGAGGCAAAGTTGGCAGGACGGATGTTGGCGTACAGGCCGAGCTCCTTGCGGAGCTTG